GTGTCACTAGCACGGAGGTGGGTAACGAGGTCAGCGACAGTGGGAAAGGAAGCGAGGTCAGGGAAGAGAAACGGTAGCATGAGGCGGCTAAGGGTAGCGGAGGAAGGGGAGGAGTAGCGTGCAACTACAGCGTCGTACAAGGCCTGAGCGGTCTTGCACTGACTAAAGTGGGCACGCTCAGAGGAAGGGAGGTGGCGACGCACAGCAAGACGTGCAGCAGCATCGCGGGTCGCCCACTTGGAGCGAACGGCAGAGTCAGCATCAGCAGGTGGGGCAGGGACAGCGCCAGAGACAAAGTCAAAGAGAGAGACCTCATCTATCGCATCACACAGTAAGTAAAGCTGCAGGTCTTCAATCCAGACGGCAAAGTCAATGGCCCTCCCCTCAGCGTCAAAGGTAAGAACATTGGGGGTGGCCATGACAGCAGCTGAAAATCTCACCGGGCGGGGAGAGGCAGGTAGGTCAGCAGCAGAGGAACAGCAGCACGGCTCCGCAGGCGGCTCGGGCGGCGCGGGCGGCTCGGGCGGCACGGGCGGCTCGGCGGCGGCTCGGGCGGCGGCTCGGCGGCGGCTCGGCGGCGGCTCGGCGGCGGCTCGGCGGCGGCTCAGGCGGCGGCGGCTCGGCTGCTGCTGGGCGGCGCGGGCGGCTCGGGCGTCACGGGCGGCTCGGCGGCGGCTCGGGCGGCACGGGCGGCTCGGCGGCGGCTCGGGCGGCGGCTCGGCGGCGGCTCGGCGGCGGCTCAGCGGCGGCTCGGCGGCGGCTCGGCGGCGGCTCGACGGCGGCTCGGCGGCGGCTCAGGCGGCGGCGGCTGCTGCTGGGCGGCGGGGCCGCGTGGCAGAGGGCGGCGGGGCCGCGTAGCAGAGGGCGGCGGGGCCGCGTGGCAAAGGGCGGCGGGGCCGCGATCGAAGGGTGGCGGGGCCGCGTAGCAGAGGGCGGCGGGGCCGCGTAGCAGAGGGCGGCGGGGCCGCAAGGCAGAGGGCGGCGGGGCCGCGTAGCCGAGGGCGGCGGGGCCGCGATCGAAGGGCGGCGGCGGGGCCGCGTAGCAGAGGGCGGCGGGGCCGCGATCGAAGGGCGGCGGGGCCGCTAGGGAAGGGCGGCGGAGCCGCGAGGGGAAGGGCGGCGCAACGGTCCGCTAGGGGCGACACGACGGGTCGCTAAAAAAAAAAACGCGCCTCGGGGCGCGGTTCGGTGGGCCCTAGAAGCAGTCCCTAGGAGGGAACCTGCTCTGATTCCATGTGAAAACAAAGAACGAGAATGAAATGACTATGAACGAAGTGAGTACAAATAGGAAACCCTAATTGGGTTGTACCCCCTATGGGATACCCCACTATAGCCTACAGAAACAAGTAAGCTATAAGTTCTGACAGACCACACACCCGCCACCCCCTACTCGCCACCCCCAGACCCTAACACAGGGCAGGGCGGGACGGCGGGTAGGGAGGTTACGGGGGGGGGGGGGAGGGGGGGGCCGACGCGCGGCCTCCCAGGGCGCCAAAACAGGCGGCATAAGGGGCGACGCTCGCCCTCCCCCTCAGGTCGTCCCTCCCATCGCCTGTCGAGGCGACCTGAGGGGGCCGCGAAAAGGGGGGGGGGGGCGGTGCACGGGCCCCCGGTGCGCCGCGACAGGCGACGGAGCATGGCCGGGGCGGGGCCGGGGCAGGGTCGAGGCAGGGCCGAAAGGGGCGGCGACGGGGCCGCAAGTGGCGGCGACGGGGCCGATAGGGGCGGCGACGGGGCCGCTAGGGGTGGCGACGGGGCCGCTGGTGGCGGCGACGGGGCCGATAGGGGCGGCGACAGGGCCGCGAAGGGGCCGCAAGGGGCCTGGAAGGGCGGCGACGGGCCGCTAGGGGCGGCGACGGGGCCGCGAAGGGGCCACGAGGGGCCTGAAAGGTCGGCGACGGGGCCGCTAGGGGCGGCGACGGGGCCGCTAGGGGCGGCGACGGGGCCGCGAAGGGGCCGCGAGGGGCCTGGAAGGGGGGCGACGGGCCGCTAGGGGCGGCGTCGGGGCCGCGAAGGGGCCGCGAGGGGCCTGAAAGGTCGGCGACGGGGCCGCTAAGGGCGGCGCGAGGGGCCGTGAGAGGGGCCTCTAGGAGGGGAAGAAAAAAAGTCCGTCGCACGCCACGAGGCGTGCAACACACAAAGTAGCAGCGGAAGCAGTTAGGTGGGCCCACAGGCCAGGATCGTAGATGCTCTGATAGCATGTGAAGAAATGAGGAAATGAAGAAGAGAGGTGTTGCAGTAGCAGCAGTTGGCATACATATAGGAAACCCTAATTGGGTTGTACTCGCTATAGAGTACCCCACTGCAGGCTAGACAATTATAACATTCTGACATTTTGGGGTTCGTCAACTACATGCGCCGGTTCGTCCCTGACATGGCGAAGCTGACTGCCCCGCTGACAGACCTGCTGAGGAAGGGGGTTGAGTACACGTGGGGGGAGAAAGAGCAAGCTGCCTTCTCGACCCTCAAAAACATTTTGTGCTCACCGCCCGTGCTGCACATCGCAGACCCACACCGTCCGTTCGAGCTCGTCACTGACGCAAGTGACATCGTTGTGGGAGCAGTATTGTTGCAGGATTTCGGGAACGGCCTCCAACCAATCGCGTATGAGTCCCGCAAGCTGCACCCGCCCGAACGCAACTACCCGATACACGACCGCGAAATGTTGGCGATCGTGCACGCGTTCAAGGTATGGCGGTGTTACCTGAGTGGCGCCGACGTGACAGTACAGACAGACCACCGATCACTACAGTACTTAGGCGCTCAACCAAATCTCAATCCACGACATATTCGCTGGTTGGACTACCTCGAGTCCAACTTCCACTATACGGTTACATACAAGAAAGGCGCATCCAACATCGCCGACGCACTCACCCGCCCTACCGCCCAACTCCACGCCATCCTACTCGCCCAGACCAACCCGCTTTTAACAGGCCTATTCACCCACGGATACCGCACCGACCCATTTTTCCCGACTGGAAACTCATAGCAACTGGCAGAAGCTAAAGGAGTTTATTACGTAAAAACAGGCACCAACTGCATCTGGGTACCCGCGTACTCACTACTGAGGGAGCTGCTACTGCAAGAGGCACACGACGGAATTACCTCGGGACACTTTGGGATAGAATAAACGCGACAGCAACTGCAGCGGTATTACTACTGGCCGGAGCTGTTGACCGACGTGCAGCAGCATGTGGGCTCGTGCCCCACGTGTCAGGTGATGAAGAGCTCGAGGAAGCGGAAGGCGGGTCAATTGCAGCCGATACCACCGCCCGAGCGCGCCTTGCAGCAGGTCACCATGGATTTCGTCACAGGGTTACCTTTGAACCCTGGGGGTAACGACGTGGTGATGGTCATCGTTGACAGGTTGACGAAGATGGCACACTTCGCTGCATGCAAAAAGTCGATCTCAGCCGAGGAAACCGCTCGTCTGTTCATCGCAGCCGTTGTTCGCCTGCACGGGATACCAGCAGCAATTATCAGCGACAGGGACACGAAGTTCGCCAGCAACTTCTGGAAGAACCTCTGGGAGCAGTTCGGGACCAGGCTACAGTTCAGTTCGTCGTACCACCCCGAGACCGACGGTCAAACGGAGCGGACGAATGAGACGATGGAGCAGTTTATTCGTGCCACATGCGACGACCCCACGACCTGGGAGCAGCAGCTGCCGCTGGTCGAGTTCGCGTACAATAATGTCACTTTAGCGACGACGCAGCAGTCCCCCTTCTACCTGAACTACGGGCAAAACCCTACAGTGCCCATGACGCCGAGTCCGGACAACCCAACACCACGTTCATAGCAATTTGCCGAAATTCTGCAAGCTGCCCGCACTAGAGCCGCAGAAGCAATTACAAAAGCAAACGTCATCGCTAAGCGCAACGCTGACCGCCACCGCCGCCTAGTCACATACCAGTCAGGGGATTACGTACTGCTCGACACGCAAAATCTGCGACTGCCCGACGTACCAAAACCTCGACCGCGCTACTGTGGCCCATTCCAAATCAGCCACATGATCACGCCAGTAACCGCGCACCTACTTTTACCGACCGACTGGTACATCAGTCCTTCGTTCCACGTCAGCTTGCTTCGCCCCTACATCCATGACTCGCCCTGCATCAGAGCCGATCATCGCGCCCGAAAAAATCATGAGCCATCGGATTCGACACCCCACGGGAATCAAGAGGATTGAATTCCTCCTTCGCTGGAAAGATCGCACGCCAACTGAGGACAGCTGGGTGCCCCTGGCCAACATCGAAAACCACCCTGCCCTGCAAGTGTACCTGAGGAGCCGGGGATTCCGCGATATACACGCACTCGCGTAGCGGAGGGGGCTTCTTGAAGGGGGGGGGGGGGGGGTAGTGTAAGGAATTTTCTCAACATTCCTTACGGAGCCCGACTACATTGCGTACAGCAACAGCCGTTGTTCGGCCCGTTACTGCTAACGGGGCTTTGCCGACTTCGCGCGCATTGTTTCACCAAACCTCGCACTGCTGGCCTGGCCGTATCGGCCTACGCTTCGGGACTAGCCCGAGCCTCATTTCGAGCGTAGCACTAGCTAGCTCGCACGCACCGCGTTACCGTTTGCATGTTTCGCGTATAAATCTTCGCTCATGCCTTCGCTCACATTTTGTACTCGTTTGACACCTTAGTGCAATTCTCGCTACTTAGATTCATTGCACCCGTAACAGTTTGCAAAAAACGACTGTACATTGATCAAATCATACACGCGGAGTGTACAATCCCAATTGGAGAATAAAATCAGTCATTCCCTGATCATTCGCCTGAACTCAGGGAATGGATCAGGTAATCCATTCGTGGATGCCTTCCTTGAGAACACCCAGAACCAGAACACCGAAAGCAGTCAGCTTCTGGTGCTGGGACCAGCTTATGCTAAAACGCCAACAGCCAAACCACCTGTCGAGGCGCTGTAAATATTCTAGACTGCCTTACTTGCCGTCGCTTCTCTTCGCTTGCAGTCGCTTACGGTGCTGATCCGGCCGATGGCGACCCTTCATCTTTCCGTGCCCGTGGCTGCGGCTCTGGCAAGTAGCGGTTTGAGTCGCGGACACCTCAGAAGAAGACAAGTAGTCACCGCTCAAGCCAGTGAGTGTACCTTGTGATGGGTTGTCTTAAAAAAAAAAAAATCTCTTTTTGATATATTCTTGCATTGTACATGACTGAACTGGTTAAGGGCTTGACAAGGCGCAAAAACGATCATTGGCATGCATGAAGGATGGAAGCAGGAACTTAATCGCTTAGCAATCCCGTGCGTTTATTTGGTTGTTCTGAAACGTTTTTCCTAGGCTTTGACGAGATTATTCATAGTCGAGAGCTGCTAAAGGACTGCCTCCTTGTTTCTGCATCCTTGTCAGGCGGAGACAGCACATTCACGAGTCCCAAGGCGGGGGCTGTAGGGGTGAAGCGGCTGCAGGAGGGAGCTGCACCCGGCACATACTACGGTCCCAAGTACCGCTGCTGTTGCCCTCAACCTTGCTCCACCTCTACTTTTCTTGCGGTTATTTTGATGTCCCGAATCTCGCCTGTTCTCGTGTCACATTCTGAGTCGCGTCAAACGGATCAGAAAGTTATGTGGGACCAAATCATTTGTACGGTTGTCCTTAAAAGATGGTCGCTCCCATGCGTGCATGTGCTCGTGTGTTGTGTGTGTGAATGTTTCATTTATGTCTCACGTTCGTTACATGTATGCTGCCTCATGTGTGTATCATGTCTGCACGCTGATGCATGCATGCGCGCGCGCGCGCGCGTGTGTGTGTGTGTGTGTGTGTGTGTGTGTGTGCACTCATGACATGTTGCTCCAGGATCGAGAACGGGAATCCAATCACCGTGGAGTTCGATCTTGGATCTGAAACTGTATGTTCAAGGTAGCAAAGCTCGGTGAGCCTCAAATGTGAGGCGATATTCGAGGCTCTGAGGCGCCTCAGTGACCGTATTGACAACGAAATCCAATCACCGTGGAGTTCGATCTTGGATCTGAAACTGTACGTTCAAGCTCGGACGCTAACTTTGGGTGTTACATGTTGCAAGCTCGGTTCCTCGTTAAAATGATGCAGCTTTAAGTTCAGGCCCTGGTAAAGGCCAGCCCAAAAATGCCTCTTCTTGCAACTACTAGCAAGTGTATACTCAATCCCACTGCTCCTGCATGCCACACCCTGTACCACTCGTGGCATTCACGGCAGATCACAGTGGAGTCAAGGGAGGGCGAGAACCTGCTGCATCTGGCCGAGAGCACTTCGTCAGCGCTTCTAGAAGCAATCAGGAAAGCCTAGTTTTGGGCTACAGAATGTGCACCACTTCTGCCTTGCTCCGTCTGCCTTCCCCTCCACGGCAGATCACAGTGGAGTCAAGGGAGGGCGAGAACCTTCTGCACCTGGCCGAGAGATGTGGCGCCATGAAACCCTCCGAGGTAATCATTCGTAATGCTATAATGGTTTTACTACTGCACGACTTTGGCTGTGACCACAGAAGGGAAGGATCTTTTCTCCCCCCACGTGCCCATCCCTCCCCGCTGTATCATAAGTTTGCTTTGAAAGGACCTGCTGTCACTGAAATATTAAATCTCATACATGTCAACCCCCCCTCTTCCCCCCTTCTCCACTCCCTGCGTCCGTTACTCCTCATCTATGCCAATAATTCTGCTTTGAGGGGACGTGCTGCCACTGAAATATTAAATCTTATACTCCTCTTAAATCTTAATAATTTCCCCCCCCCCCCCTCCCCCCCTTCCCCCCCTCTTCCTGCCCCCCCCCCATTCCCCCCCTATGCCAGGAGTTCTGCTTCGAGGGGACGTGCTGCCACTGCGAGATGGAGGTTGAGGGAGGAGCAAGTGAGGTGAGCACTTGATTGCACGACGGATGTGTCTAGATTTTACCAACGACGGATTGCCAAAAAAAGGTTCTGCTTTAAAGGGACGTGCTGCCACTGCGAGATGGAGGTGGCGAGAGGAGCAAGTGAGGTGAGCACCCCATTGCATGGCAGATGATTGGAAGTTACCTTATATGGCTCAAATACTCTATATTGGATGGAGTCTCTTTTGGCTCAGAAGTAACTCGCATGGCTCAAACACGCTCGCTCACATGTCATGCCCCAATCTTAAGACGCACATTAATAAAACTACTGGTATCTCAAATTTGTTTTTTCTTTCCTGTTTACCTACATTTTAAGCGTGCATGTGTGCACTGTGGGTGTTGTGCCATGGGTGGTTTGGGCCTCACTTCTGGAATTCTGAATACATGCCGATTGTTGTAATGATTCGTCGCTCCCATTTTGCTGACAAATCAACCATGCGTGTGTGCAGGCGGGGTATCGTGCCATGGGTGGTTCTGACCTCATTCGCAGCTGCATTTGTCCAGTAAGTTGCAGTTACCTGGTACGCTGCGATTACCCTGTCAGCTGTGTTTTCTCGCTGCAAGATGCATTCACCTACCCACTGCATCCTCTCCCCCCTACTCCCCCTCCCACCCACTCCCAACCCCCCTTCCCCCTCCCCCTCACCCTCCCCCTCCCCCTCCCCCTCCACCTCCCCCTCCCCCTCCTCCTCAACCTCTCTCTCCCCCTCCTCCTCCCCCTCCCCTTCCACCCCTTAGCTCACTAGAAACAGCAGCCACATAATGCGATGAAATGTTACCAAGCGTGTCCGACGACCTGCTATGGTTCCCTCGTGCTTGCAGGTGCCGGGTCGCAACGGCGGAACCCTCAAAGTGCGCATTCTCAGCGAGGAGGACGCGTGGGGGGATGGTGTCCTGTAAGGGGCGGCTGGGGGATAGCTGGCAGTCTTTTTGGTGACTGGGAGAGGTGGTTTTTGTCAGGAGAAAGTGTGAGGTAAATGGTTTTCGGATAAGGGTATGGGTGATGCTAGGAATGGCATGGCATTCTCTGATATGTATGGGCAGCGCAGCGGGCAAATGTTGCCTTGTAAGTGGTATGTTATGTTGGTAGATGTTGCATCCAGAGTAGTCAGTTCACTAACTTATCCCAATGTTCCTGCGCAGATCGTTTAATCAAGGCTTTCCATCCAGCAAATGTAACTGAGCAATACAAATATACACACAAGTTCACAGACATTCCAGAATAAAGAAAGCATACAAAACAGCATGACGACTGTTGGAAACAATCGGTCCTAAGCGCCTCTGTCGTGTCGAAACACTAAGGCACAAGCGAAGCGAAGCATACCGAAGCACCGGCGAGTCAACCCTTGGAGGTTGAAGCAACCGCTGGAGGTTACTCGAAAGTCAAAGGTCAGCGACCTTTGACCTGACAAGTACAGCGCGACAGCAAGGACACACAACTGACTCGCTACAGAGCAGTTGCCCGAGTCGTCACTGTATCGAACCGCAACAGCAACAGTAAAAGTAGTTACAACCGTATCTCTTCACATTCCTTGTACTCTTATGTATTCTTGTATCTCTTTGCTTCAATCAACTTACTTTGCCCTCACATACTAGCGCAAGGTGGTTCAGAATCCCTTTATTAAAACGCTTCCTCTACTACATCACTCTACCCAGAGATTAACCCTACCAAAGACCCTAAGGGGCACTCAGCCCAACAACGACTACAAGTCACAAACTGGGTAGCAAGAAAAGGGATAAAGACCTTGCGAACAAGCACAAGCAAGTCCCCAGGCAGCTGCCTCCTACCGTATCACTGTCTTCTACTAGACAGCTCCATTATAGACTCATTCATTATACACTCTATTCACTGCTTCACACAGGGTGCTTCTGTGCCTCTCCAGCAGGTCAAAGAGTTCCGTTCCGTAACAGCATCATTCTCAAGCCACCAGACTTTGAGCCGACTCAAAACTCAAACTCCTTAAAGAGTGCTTCAGCTCAGTGCCTCTCTAGCACGTCAAAAAGTTCTGTAACAGCATCGTTCTCCAGCCACCAGGAGTCACCAGCGTGAAGAGCAGCCTCGTTCAACCTTTCTTCTTCTCTCTCATTTGCTGCTGCTGCTGCCTCTGTTGCTGCCGTTCCTGACACTGATGATGATTCTCCTGCTGCCCTTCCGTTTGTACCCGTTGCATTTCCATCACTAACATGCCCGTTGCCATGTGCAGACTCGTTATAAGCAGCGAAACCATTGGCTCCGTTATAAGCTGCCCCATTTGGCACTAAAATGTCGTCCGCAGCAGCAGCAGCACCATCAGAGATCAAAGCAGGAAGAGGAACTTCCTCTAAATCTGCCTTCCACATCCCTCCGCCTTCACCCCACTCCCAACTGGCATCTCCCCCCAGTTCGCCTTCAGAGCTGCCTTCCCCATCATCATCTGAAACTGCCGTCCACCCCTTGTTGTATATACGTGCCTCTGCTTGCACCTCTGCTTGGACCTCTCCTTGAGGTGCAGCCCACCACAGCCCATCTGCGTCTCCTCCACTGTTCACCACCTCCTCATCACCATTCACTCTTGCAGCTGATCCTGGCGCTTCTGCTGGTGTTGCTATCGAAGAACCTATTGCCACAGCAGCAGCAGCTGCTCCTGCTGCTGGAGCTGGATTCGCTGTTGATGCTGCTGATACAGCAGTCCTCCTCGGCCAATCACTGACCGGATAGGCCCGCACTCGGATCTGCACCTCAGGCTCTGCTTCGTCAGCATCCCCAACTCCCTTTATAGTCACGTTGCTTGTAGCAGCATCAGCAGTGGCAGGAGTAGCAATTGCGGCAGGAGCAGCTGTTGTGGAAGCATCTACCAAAGGAAGAGGGCTGGAATCAGCAGAAGCAGCAGGGGAGGAAGGAGTAGCAGTAGGAGCAGCAACACTGCTTCCCACAACAAATCCAACATCACCACTTGCAGCATCACCAGTGCCACCAGCAACAACCCCTGCTGCTGCTCCATCACCCACAACCTTAGAGGCAGCAGAGGCAGCAGCAGCAGCCACGGCAGCAGCAGCCAGAGCAGCCTTACTGAGCGCCTTACCAGCAGCAGCCTTCGCTCCGGCCTTCACTACACTCTTCAGCTGCGACGAGAATTGCTTTATCCTAGCACGCTTGCTACCCCTCCTGCTGCTGCTGCTGCTGCCAATGCTGGTTTCGCTGACACTTGCCTCTGCTTCCCTCCCCCGTTTGTCTCCTGCAACAGGCTTGGCAACAGACTTGAGTGCTTCCCCAGCAGCTGTGGCTCTGTTACTAGCTCTATTCCTCAGGTCCTTGAGGGTTTCTCCTGCAGCCTTTCTGGCCCCTTTAGCAACACTCTTCGCAGCTTCTGATTCTGCTGCCGCTGCCGCCGCCGCTTCTGCTGCTGCCGCTGCCGCTGCTGATAGTTCTGCTGCTGCTCCTGCTGTTGCTCCCGCTGCTGCTGATGGCGCTGTTGTTTCTCCTTTGAACCTTCCTGGCCCAAACAGCCACTCTCCATCACTCCCCCCTTCCCCATCACTCCACCCCTCACTCCCACTACTCTCGCTCTCACTCTCACTCTCGCTATCCTCATCCCTCGTTCTCCCACCCTCCTCTCCCCCCCCATCTCCGTTGAACCTGATCCGAACCTTCGTTTTGTTGGGCTTGCCGAACTTCCCCAGGACCGTGGTTCGGCCCGAGCCTTCCTCCACGTATGACTTGTAGGTTAGGACCAGCCGAACCTCGCCCTGAGGTGCGGGCTTCACTCCAAAAGGCCCGTCTTGTAACAGTGGTAACCACATGGAGACTGGAATGCAGTCCTGAAGCTGATTCAAGGGAACCTGTGGAGGGGGGAAAGGGAGAGGTTCAAAAGGCTCAGTTGTGTAACCACAGTAACAGTGGTAACATGGTAACCATAGGGAGACTGCAGTCCTGCAGCTGTGGAGGGTGGAAGGTTGCGGATGATAAAGGCACATTATGTAACAGTGGTAACGTGGTAACCACATGTATACTGGGATGCCTCCGAGGGCTCTCCACGCAGAACAGAAAGTCCTGATTCCACACCGGGTCCCTCGGCCCTTGGGGGGCTAGTGAGTGAGACTAGACCTAAGAGAGTCTGCTGGCACTGACTCACCCACCTGCACGAAGCCCAAGTCACGTTGAAACAGCACCGAGTCCCGCACCACCACGGTCAGCTTCTGCCTTCTCGGGCTCTCCACGCAGAACAGGAAGTCCTGATTCCACACCGGGTCCCCGGGGCTTGCCGCATGCGACGTCTGCCTGTTCCTCTTGCTCTCCACCACCGCCCCCCCAAACACCAGCCGGCAGTACGGGTCACTCAGGAGAGACAGCGGCCGGGTAAGAATCGCCAAGGGGTTGTTTCTTGGACGGGAAGAAGAAGAAGAAGGAGGTTTGGTGGGAGAAGAGGAAAGGCTGGAGGAAGGAGGGGTGTGGGAAGAGGGAGGGGAGGTGGGGAGGGAGAGGAGGGAGAGCGGCGAGGTGGGGAGGTTGCGGGCCTCACAGAGCGTGACTGAGAGCTCGCCCTTGAAGGCGTCTGAGGTGTCCCCCTGGAGAGGCGCGTGGATGGCGGACGAGGGGAAGGGGGAGGCGGAGGGGGAAGGGGAGGCGGAGGGGGAGGCGGAGGGGGAGGCGGAGCGGCCGGAGGAAGGGGAGGGAGAGGAGTGGGAGGAGGACGAGGGGGAAGAGGAGGTGGCCACGTTGGCAGGTGTGGTGCTGAATCCTGTGGTGGTGGTGCTTGTGCTGCTGCCACCACCGCCATAACCATTCAATAAACCACTGCTGCTGCTGCTGGCACTGGTGGTGCTGCTGCTGCCATTGCTGCCGCTGTCGTTCCTGCTGGCTCCCCCCCAGTTCATGACTGCTGGTGAGTTGAGAATACTCCCAACCACAGCAGACGCTGCCGCTTCCGTGCGCCACTGCGCCACGTCACCAGCCACGTCAGCACGCATGCCAGCAGCCACGTCAGCAGCCACGTCAGCGCCCACGTCAGTCCCCGCGTCCGTGTCCTCGTCAGCGTCCATGCCAGGTGGCAGGAAGTCCAGGCTGATGTGGCGCGGCAGCACGAGAAGCCGCGGGAGGTCCTCCGTTAAAAGCTTAGAGAGGAATCTGGGGGTATGGGGGGGAACAAAGGGGTAAGAGGGAATAGAAGGGAGTGAGGAGGAGTGGAGGAATGTTGCAGGAGTGTTACGGGATATAGACGTGGGAGGTCCTTCGTTAGAAGCAGGTGGGATAGTGAAGGTGGGGAAGGGAGAGAGCAGGTGTGGGAGGAGGGGGAGCAAAGGGAGGGGGATTTGGGGGTGCATTCAGATCGTCCTTATGTGAGTGTGTGGGTGTGTGTGTGAGCATGCATAGCCATATACTCGCAGAATGCCGGCAATATTGAACGCGTGGAACGGCGCGAGCACGAGCTTGATTGTCAGCAGGTGAACAAACGCACGCAAGCGACAGGTGCTTGTGTGTGTGAATTTTTTGTGCATGTGCGTGTGCGTGTGCGTGTGTATGTGCTTGTGTGTGTGGGTGTGTATGTGTGCGCGCGCGCGCGCGTGCATAGCCGAATACACCTGAAGGAGCCAACTCACGGGATGCCAACCACACTGAGCACGTGGAAGGGCGCGAGAACCAGCTTGATGGTCGGCAGGCGCACGAATGCGAGCGACAGGTGCTTGTGCGTGTGCATATGTGCACGCATGGCCAAATACTCACGGGATGCCGACAACATTGAGCACGTGGAACGGTGCGAGCACCAGCTTGATAGTTGGAAGGCGCACAAACGCGAGAGACAGGCTGGCGACAAACGGCTTTTTCGGCGTCAGGCGTAGCTTCACCCACACCTCCGCATCCACGTCCAAGTCATGCACGTCCTCCTGTGCTTATGTGCGCGTGCATGTGCCCCCGTGTATTTGTGTGGGTGTGGTGGTGCGTGACAGGGAAAGGGGAAGAGACACTCACGGGATGCCGACGACGTTGAGAACATGGAAGGGCGCGAGCACAAGCTTGATAGTTGGGAGGCGCACGAACGCGAGTGACAGGCTTGCAACAAACGGCTTTTTGGGCGTCAGCCGTAGCTTCACCCACACCTCAGCATCCACGTCCAAGTCATGCACGTCCACCGGCACGGACCACTTCAAACCCCCCACCTCCAAATGCAGCCTTATCATACAATGCGCGTCCCCGGTATACCGCACCCCCACATGGTACTGCAAGTCGTCCGCCTTCCTGCTCGGCCGCTGCTGCACGGCTCTTACAGCAAACGGCTCGTAGTCCAGAGTAAACACCGCGATTTCCACCCGGGAGAACGGCGCCGGGAGCGTCGGTTGAAGCTTGTCGATGCTGCGTTGGATTCGGGTTACCAGCCAGGTTTCTATGGGTTGTCTGTAGACTTTCCACATCTTGTGGAGCACCATGTTGACCCATTCGACTGATTCCTTCTGCATCCCCACGCCCACGTCTGTCGGCGCGCCAAGCTTCCTGTCGCTGCTGCCAGCAGCAGCAGCAGCAGCAGCAGCAGCAGCAGCGCTTGTGCTCGCTTTTGCACTCGCCTTTGCATTTGGTCTTGCACTTGCTTTTGTGCTTCCAGTGCTTGCCTTTGTGCTGGGGTTTCCTTTCGTGCTGGAGCGTGTGCTTCCCTTGGAGTTGTTTTTCCCGCTCGGCTTGCCACCTCTGCTCTTGCTGCTCGCTGCTGCAGAAGCTGAAGCTGCTGCTGCTGATGCGGCTGCCGCACCGGAGCCAATTCCAAAGGCCCTTGCCAGGCCTTTCGACCAGATGGAACCACCGGCTTTGCTGCTGAGTTGTTTCTTCATCGCGCTGCTATCTCTGCTGTCCTTGCTGCTGCTGCTGCTGCTGCTGCTGCTGCTCTCCCTGCTGCTGCTGTCCTTGCTTATTTTCCCATTGCTTGAGGCCCTCCAGGGTTCCTCTACGGTATGGCTGTCTCGTTCGCCTCCCATCATCTCCTGGCCAGCGCTGCTGTGCACTGCGTACCCGTTTAGAGCGTGCCCGTTAACCGCGCGCCCGTTAAGAGCATGACCGTTGGAAGCAGCCCCGTTAATAGCATACCCGTTAAGAGCATGCCCATTGGAAGCAGCCCCGTTAGAAGCATACCCGTTAAGAGCATTCCTGTTGGAAGCAGCCCCGTTCAGCGCGGCGTATCCGTTGTAACCAGGACCGGTTTCAGCAGCCAGTAGACCGCCAAGGCCACCATGATCCGCGGTATAAGATGACCGATCAGCTGTAGCTGTAGCAGCAGCAGCAGCGTTGGCTACTGCAGTGGCGTAAGGGCCATGATCCATTGATAACAAGGCTCCATTGGTTGTACGTTGGGTAGGTACTATTGCTGAGACAGTTCCGTCTACTTGTCCTGCTGCTGATGCTGCTGCTGCAGTTGCGATATCGAGAGAGGGGATGGAAGAGGAGGGGGAAGAGGAGGAGCGGGACGGAAGGGTGGGAAGACGGGCGGCCGAGACGAGTCTCTGTATGAGGTGACACAAACGAGGGGACGGGAGACGAATAGGGAGAGACAGTCTCTGTATGAGGTGACACAAACGAGGGGGCGGGAGACGGATAGGGAGAGACAGTCTCTGTATGAGGTGACACAAACGAGGGGGCGGGAGACGGATAGGGAGAGACAGTCTCTGTATGGAGTGACACAAACGAGGGGGCGAGATCAGACGAGGAAATGCGAAACACCAAATTTCCTCGATAACGTTCTGGTTACCAGCTTGCGTTGATCATCTTCAGCCCGTTTGTATCACCTTCCGTTTGTATCACCATCAGCGCAGTACCTGCCGTTCGTTTCGGCGGAGCCAGAGGACGAACGCCTGTTTTTGGATCGACTCAAACACAGCCAGAGGACGAACGCCTGTTTCTGGGTCGACTCACAGCCAGAGGACGAACGCCGTGGTCAGCAGAGGCGCGACTTTGCCGAGTGTGACAAGAACGAGGTCGCGCAAGCGGTTTACCAACTTCCATCCATCAACTTCCGTTTGTATCACCTTTCTCTTCCTCTTACTACCTGTTGTTCGGCTCGTCGGCGCAGCCAGAGGACGAGCGCCGTGGTCAGCAGCGCCGCGACTGCACCGAGTGTGACAAGGACGAGGTCCCGGATCGGCCCAGAGACCACCGCGGACACGGCAGCCTCGATAATGGAACTTCCCGCCGCCGCATGCGCTCGGACCGGTTGTAGCCGCCGCTGCCGCCTCTGCTGTGCTACAGCTGGCGGCTGCAGCACCGAGAAAGAAGGATGTTGCTCGAGTTGACTCGCCCAGATACTACTACCAGTCTGCCCATGGCCGCCGCCTACGGACGACGGACAGCCGAAGCACGAAGGCTGTTGGTGCCGCTGCGTGTGTCTGCTCCTACTCCTAGCCGCCACGAAGACGGACGAGTAGGGCCGATAGGAGTGGTAGGAGGAAGGGTCGAAGGGCGGAATTAGGCGGGAAGCAGCGGGTGGGGCTCTTGGTGAGGCAGCAAGCGACAGGCGTGCTCGTTTCAGCAGTCGTTGCCGCTCCGACAGTAATGGTTTTCCGAAAAGGGAGGTTCTGAGCAGCACACGAGACGGCGTGCGTAGTGGGGTTAACCGTCGGGTGGTCGAGCCTACTTTTAGTTGAGAGGTGATTGGACGAACGGTGAGCGTCGGACGACGAGAAAGAGCTACGGAGGTGTCCATACCGTGTCAATTATAGTGGAGAGTCAAGTGCGCAGCGCGCGCTAATGGCCGCAACGCACCGCAGCGCACGATCACAGGCGGTAGATTAACCTAAAACTCGTCGAAGCAGTAATTTGGGAAAGTAGTGTGCTTGGTCATGACGTTCAAAAGCTCGACATCCATAGATAGAACACGGAACACATAACTGGCGAGGAAACAATACTGAGGTGACGTGATCCCGCACATGCGAGCTCTGTGCGGGAAGGGAGTAAAGCACGACGACACGAATGGTCCAAAAAGCGGGAAAGGAAGGAGGAATGGGGCAGATTACACCGCTCCTCTCCCCTGGTCATTCGCACTCAAATCGACTCCACTGATCTGATCGGAGCAGAAAGCGGAGCAGAGCAGGCGAATGCGTATCCGTGTTCACACATGCCCCTTCGCCAACCTGCCCCTTGAATTCGCATCTCACACGGGTGGTGCAAGCCTGCCCGCGGTGCGTCAGGAGCGAGGCCTGGTGGGCCGGGAAACATTCCGTGGAAGTTTTGGGCAGGTGGGGATGGTGCTTGGGAGCCAATGGTTGGTTGGATAAGGGTCAGATTTTTTTCGGGATACAGCTGAGACCGCCTCTGTCGTAATTTGCCAACGCAGCGAAAGGTACAGAATCGGGTTTCCAGGACTTTTCGTTCGCCAGTTCGGTTGGCCCAGGTCAACCATATGGACAACCTCACGTGCGATGCTGCCCTTGAAAACCGCGATGTGCTTGAAAAGAAGCTGCGTTGTTGGAGGATGCCTGCAAATGGTCTAATAATAAAAAGCCACGCGTACATGAACTCATGGATTTCTGGATTCCCGGGCCAGGCTGGGAAAGTAGATATCTCCTCCTGACCCTTTCGGGCCCACTTCCCTGATACGCGTCAGCATGAAACTTGTCAGGCGACAGGTCAACCCATGCAAGGTTGGCAGCAGGGCAACCTTGAAGAAACCGCACACGAATAATCGTTGAAACCTGAGTCTGGTATAAAATAATACCTCTACATGCTCACTGAAGATGGATACAGAGAGTTGCTTTTACTGAACTTTCTATAAAGCAACCAAAAGATGCAAGATGTGCATTAGCGCCAGGCTCGGCGCAATTTGTTCACAAGGTCGTTCGTAGAGTTCGGTTTTGTATATAATATCTGACAAATTTCTTTACGATGCAGTGAGGTATCGTATGGTGGAGGTTCGTGTATGAGCATCCTGTTGCACAACACCCAGTTGCACTTGTTTTAGGTCATTCCTTCACATTTAGTATGCTAGTCCATTCAACAGCCCTCACATCCTGACAATCGATGCGTTTCACCACGCCGTGTGTCGTCATAGACACCACAAGCATCTATCTCTGAGTTTCATTTCGTATCCCCGTTGAAGCGACGCTTTCGCCATGGCGGACGCGTCGCCTTTCAGCTTGGCATCGTCGATATCCTGCCACGCGTGGAATGGCAACATGTCCAGTTGAGTCACAAGCATGATAGAAGCTAGTTCATACTCCCTTTAAACTGGGTTCCTACTGTACCCGATCAACATTTGAAGAAATCCAGAGTCATTGGATCACCATCTAACAATGATTCAGTGAGGTTAGGTTACTTTCAGTGTCTTCACCTGCTTGTGTAACTGAAGTAACATTCAGCGACATTCAGGGCCATTCACTTACATTCAGCTCCTCCTCTTGATCAGCCTGTCTCCTCGTCGTTACGTATCGGGTGTTCATCAAACTCTTATCAAAACACTCCCTCATTCCAATTTCTCCATTTCAGTGGTGGCCGTTAGCCCGCGGACATCGGAGCTGTGGATATTCAAAGCTAATATCGCGGATGATGAGAAACAGTGGGAGAAGCTGCACACGTTGTCCAAGGTACACGCATTTGAAATTCAGAGCACCAGCAAACAGGACATGACAGTGTTAGCAACAGTCATGATCCTTCTGACCTTTTACAACCATGCTTCCTCTACTCAAACACCCCAATTGGCATTCTTGGCATGGCCTGAAATGGCATGGCATGTTATGACATACTTTGTATGCATGGCATGCTGCACACCATCCATATGGCATGGCATGGCATGGCAGCACGAGGATCTGATATCAGGCGTGGACTGGGGCGCCAAGAAGAACCGCATCGTCACATGCTCACATGACCGCAACTCGTGAGCCTTGCCTGGGGAATGCATGTCATTTCGCACTCCTGCTCTTCTTAACGATCATTGGATGAGTGGAACTGGGTCGCGGAGTAGTGGAACGTCAACCCCCCACTCCTCCCCTCCCCCACTTCCCACCCTCCCCCTCCTGCCCTCACCACCCTCCTTCCATCTGCCTCTTCCTTCCTATCCACCCTCCCTTGGCCTGCGTGCACAGGTACGTGTGGAACTGGGTGGAGGGGGAGTGGAGAGCAGCACTGGTTATTCTGAGACTCAACAGGGCGGCTCTTTGTGTTGCGTGGAGTCCCCAAGGTGAGAGAAAGAGGAATGGAGTTCCCAAGGTGAGGGTGGGACGAATGGAGTTCCCAAGGTGCGAGTGAGAGGAATGGAGTTCCCAAGGTGAGGGTCTGAGGAAAGTTTATGAGTTGATACAATAGTCAACTGGGTGGAGGGGGAGTGGAGGGCAGCTCTGGTCATTCTCAGTCTCGACAGGGCGACTCTCTGTGTTGCGTGGAGTCCCCAAGGTGAGGGCTTTGAGACGAATGGAGTTGTCAAGGTGAGGATGGGGCAAGTGGAATACAGCAGCACATGCAGTTCAGCTTGATGAATGTTCCAATCTAGTTGCTCAGGGAGACCCGTATATTGTTTGGGAAGCTGTCCGTTTGTGCCACTCGTTCATGAATAGAACCCAAGTGCTGTTATGTTCATATATTCTTGCTCACCGTGCAGAGAACAAGTTTGCAGTGGGAAGTGGGTCCAAGACTGTCAGTGTGTGCTACTATGATGACGAGAACAGCTGGTATGTGCTCATAATGAAACAGAACTGGTGACGTTGTATAATTATTTGGAGTGGAAGAGAATGGTATGTGGATGTGTCTATGCTAAGCAATGATGTAGCATACGCACGTGCCTGTGTTTCTCCGTGTGCTCATGCATGTCTGTGTGCATGCATGCTTGTGTGTGTGAATGCACATGTGTGTGCATGCATGTGTGCGTTTGTGCGTGCGTGCATATGTGCTCGCAGGTGGGTGAGCAAGGTGATTCGCAAGAAGCATGCCTCTTCAGTCACCAGCGTTGCCTGGCATCCAAACAATGTGAGACATGATGAGATTCTGAAAGTGAACAGAGCCAGCAGAACAAAACACAAGTCATGAGCCTTCTCACTATAGAACCTGTTTACTGTACTGATTTTCCTGTTGTTGCTCTTTCTGTTGCTGCCCCCTACTTCCAAAAAAAAAACACACACACATTTTTCTTCTCCTCTCCCCTCCCTCCCCTCCCCCTGGCTCCTTATTTGCAGCTTCTCCTAGCGACCACATGCACAGATAACAAGTGCCGAATATTTTCAGCTACAATCAAAGGGGTTGACTCTAAGAGGTATCCTCTCCATCTGCTGAACTCTGCAACACACTCCCTATAACTCACAAAATATCTATGTCATTTTTCATCACTCTTCCCATATTTCTCATTCCTCTCACAGTTCTGACTCCTTTTATACCTCTTCATGCCTTGTCTAACAATGCACATTCCACTTCGTCTCTTTCTTGTCCTTTTGTCCATTTCTGCTCCTAACCGCGTTTTTTCACCTCTGCCTAGTTCGGAAAGCTCATCGTCTGGTGGATTCTCCGGGAAATTTGGAGAGGTGAGGCAGGGAAGGGGAAGGGCGGAAAGGGACGCAGGGAACAAAAAGAGTGGTCAGTAGAATCAGGGAGTTTTATGGTTGGAAAGTGGAGCGAGCTAGGGATGTGACATAATGGAATGGTTAGCTGTGATTGTCAAGGTTTACCGCATTCTCTCAATAAATCCCTCCCACATTATCTTCCCCCTTCTCGTTTCTTTGTCCTCAACATTTATCCTGATTCCCATCGTCATCTCGCCTCTCCCTCATCTCCCCTCCCTTCCCTTCACTCCACCTCTATCACTCTCTTTCTCCAAGCAGCAACTTCTTCAGCTTGATTTGGCATTCGGGTGGACTTTTGGGGCCAGGTGGTCACCTTCAGGGGCCAACCTCGCCTTCGTTGGTGAGTTGCCCTTTTGATTTTTTTTTCAAGTCTCACAATTAGCTGCTCGACTTGGCCTTTGTTGGTGAGTCTTTGATGAGTCAGGCCTCTGAGATTGACTCAACTCAACTCCACCATCAACGACGTCAGCCCCTCCCTCTCCCTCCACTCCACCTCTATGCTTTCCACATGCATCATGTGCTGCTCATACACATACACATGCACCCAGGCCATGACTCCACCATCCATTTTATCAACGACGTCGGCCCCTCTCTCACCCTCCACTCCATCTCTCTGCGATACCTCCCATTACGCGATGTAAGTGGTATTAGGGGAGGCGGCATCGGAGTATGCAGCATCAGGGTTGGTGGTCTTAAGGTAGGTGGTATTAGGGTATGCGGCGTCAGGGTAGGCGGTATTTCTGTATGCGGCATCAGGGTAGGCGGTATTAGGGCGTATTCCTGCACTTCGGGTCATCAGCACTTCGGGCCATCCGAAATTGTGGGATCCAATCGGAAATTCGGAATCAAGAGATTGGGATGCATTCCGATTTTCCGATTGGATCCCACAATCTCGGATGACCCGAAGTGCTGATGACCGGAAGTGCAGGAATACGCCCTTAGGGCATGCGGCATCTTAGTGGGAATATACGCGTATAGCGTATATATGCTTATCGTATATACGCTAACGTATATACGCTAAACGCTGAAGGGTCGGCTTTGGGAATCCGCTTTTTCGGGCAGGAAAAAAAATCCCGGGCTGGGTGAAAAACAATGTCGTGCTCAACATCGGGAAGGTATTCCATATTCTCACTAAGAATTTCGTAGCATTCTCCTAAGTCTGAACTTCGATTAGGGTGGGATGTGTAGTAGACACTATCGCTAGAAGGAAAAGTAGGAATCGGGATGAGCTCTGTTGGGAAGCGGGAAATGTCAAGTGCAGTTGGGCTGGCTGGTTAGTAGCGTGAGTGGGGTTTGTTGGGGGGACGTTTTTGACAGGTTGGAGTTCGTAGATGGGATGGATTTCAATGCGGTACTAAACAAAATTGTAGATCTGAACTGCCAGATGCAATTGTAAGGCACATTCCCGCTTCCCTACAACCCTGAATTGCACCTCGACTTCCGCGAAATGCTCACCAGGAGATTCCGCATCTTTCCGTATACACATGAATTTTTTTCCCGGGCAGCCCCTAAATAAATCTGAAAGCGTATAGCGTATTAGCTAGCGTATAGCGTTTTGCGTATGAACGCAAGCGTATATACGCTATACGCTTTAGGTTCTGAGCGTATATTCCCACTAAGTGCGGCATCAGGGTAGGCGGTATTAAGGCATGCGGCATCAGGGTAGGCGGCATCAGGGTAGGCGGCATTAAGGGAGGCGGCATTAGGGAAACCGGCAGCAAAGTATAAAAATCTAAGCAGCAGGAAGCAAGAGGGACCTGCTCTCACAACCTTGCCTCCTGACTCCCTGCTGCTTAGGTTTCCATACTCTGATGCCGCTTTCCCTAGCGCCACCTCCCCTGATGCCGCCTCCCGTGATGCCGCCTCCCCTGATGCCGCCTCCCGTGATGCCGCCTCCCGTGATGCCGCCTCCCCTGATGCCGCCTCCCCTGATGCCGCCTCCCCTGATGCCGCCTCCCCTGATGCCGCCTCCGCTGATGCCGCCTCCCCTGATCTTCTTCACCTCTCCACTTCAACCGCTTTCCTCCTTCACCTCCCGCACCTCCCTCACCTCCCTCATCTCCCTGCAATACCTCCCACTGCGTGATGTAAGTGTAGACGCTTCTTTGCTTTCCCACTCTACCTTCCCCTCTCACCTCACCTTCAACCCCCCCCCCCCTTCTCTCCCCCCCCCCCCCACCAACACTACATCTCGCTCCGATACCTCCCACTGCGCGACCTAAACCCTAAACCCATTACTTACCCTCCTCACTTCCCCACCTTCTTTACCTCCCCGCTCTCCCTTCCCCCTCCCCCGTTCCCACACCTCTCGGTCGCCCTCCAATCCACCTCTGCGAAATGCAAGCTGTACCCTCCTCCTTCCCCTCTGTTGCCTCTATTTGGCACTGTTGAGCGAGCTTTTCACCTTTGAGAAATATCAAAAGTGATTTCAACACTGTTAAGCGAGCTTTTCTACCCTGTTGCCTTTCCACACTCTATCACTATTTCTAGCCCCATGCACCGTCAGGTTCCCTTCCTTTCTGATTGGCTGATTGGCCATATCTTCGTCTTGCTTCCTACATCCTTTTTATATTTCTCAATTCCTCTTTCCCCCCTCTGCCCCCCCACGGGGCCACATCCTCTCCATCCCTCCCATGCACCTTCAGGTTCTCTTCCTCTCCGATCGGCTGCTGGTGGCGGCTGGTTTTGACTACAACCCTCGCCCCTTTCCCCACCTGTCATGCACATACCCCTGTCCTGCTATCCACTGCCAGGTTCTCTTCCTCTCTGATCGGCTGCTGGTGGCGGCTGGCTTTGACTACAACCCCATTCTCTTCAGTGCCGATGCCAATGGCACGTGGTGAGTGGTGCTGGCAGAAATGGCACGTGGTGGGTGGTGCCCGCATCAGGTTTTACACACCATGCAATTCTGTGCAATGCAATGTCATGCCACGGTATGCAAGATGACTGTGCCATTCCCTGTGGCCTCCCCTTCCCATTAGCGCACCCGCCCCAATCCCTCCCTTTCACCCCCTCGCATCTACCTCCCTTCTCCTCTTCTCTGTATCTGCACGCTCTCAGGACGTTTGTGAGAGTATTGGATGGCTCGGAGGAGCCCACCTCCACTGCCACTGGCGCTGCTCTCTCTGCGGTAACTCCCTTACCCCCCTCCCCCTCCCTCTCATCCGCCTATTCCCTCTTTTCAGAGAGCTGGAAAACCGTCTTGCTTTTCTGTGTTTATCTCCATTTCAATGTTCTTCTGCTCGCTTTCCCTCGTTGCATCCCTTTGTGTGTTATTTAAGTAATTCCCATATTGGCAGTAGGTGCAGCAGAGTTTCCGTTGATGAGTCTGCCCTTAACGCCTCAACAGCTGAAGCTTTTCCGTGCACTTTCTCTTATGACTTCTGCTTTTTCTCCTCCCTCATCTCTCGTTTCTTTTCTAGCCTCTACCATGATCCCACCTCTCGCTCCTCAGAAGGACATGTTTGGTCGGTCGATGGAGCGCGGGAATTCTCTCCGCTCCGGCCTGAGCGACGCTGCTCCCAACGCCCCTTTGAGAAATCTCTAAAGTCCTCTCTCCTTTCTCATGACCTCTTCTCTCACTCCTCAGAAGGACACGTTTGGTTGGTCGATGGAGCGTGGGAATTCTCTCCGCTCCGGCCTGACCGACGCTGCACCCAACACCCCCTCCATTCCCGACTCGGAGTTCTTCTGAGACGTCTCAAAAGTCCTTTCTTCTCCCATCATCCCTCCCGCTCCTGAGAAGGACACGTTTGGTCGGTCAATGGAGCAAGGCAATCCTCTCCGCTCCAGCCTGAGCGATGCTGCTCCTAACGCCTCTTTGAGACATCTCAAAATTCCTCTCTCCTTTCCCATGACCCCTTCTCCCGCTCCTCAGAAGGACACGTTTGGTCGGTCGATGGAGCGTGGGAATTCTCTCCGCTCCGGCCTGACCGACGCTGCACCCAACACCCCCTCCATTCCCGACTCGGAGTTCTTCTGAGACGTCTCAAAAGTTCTTTCTTCTCCCATCATCCCTCCCGCTCCTCAGAAGGACACGTTTGGTCGGTCGATGGAGCGCGGGAACTCTCTCCGCTCCGGTCTGACCGACGCTGCACCCAATGCCCCCTCCATTCCCGACTCGGAGCTCTCGAAAGGACCTAGCACTGTTCATCAGGACTGCATCACGTGAGTTGTCCGTTTGTGCAACAGATCCTGAGTCTATTCAACTGGGGATGGACTGTGAAGGACCGAGCACGGTTCGCTCGGATGGCATCACATGTCTTGTCTATTTGTGCAGCAACAGCTCTTGTTTTGTCAAGTGGCATTGAGCTCACTGCTATCCTTTGTTGCCCTTTTTTGTCTTTCATGTGATTTCTTGCCGCAGCTGCATTCGGCCATTGGGATCGGCAGACGATTCCATTATTCAGCAATTCTCGACATCAGGTGGGCAATATGCTGGCACACGTAGCATCTCAACTAGACATTTGTACCTTGAAGTTTCTGCCTGTTCGGTTTCAGTTCAGTCAAGCGTTTTGAGCACTAGTATCCCCAGAGAAAGGATCTCCAGTATTTGTCTTGTTAAGATTTCATCTACTAACTTCTCCCTTGTTGGTTTTGCATATCTATTGGCAGGTCTAGACGGGAAAGTGGTGGTATGGGATGTGTCAGGTTTGCATCTAGCTCGGTACGCTTCAAGGCCCGGCCATTGATTCTTTCACTTGGTGGTTGGACTGCTTGAGGGTTGTATTGGAATAAAGAGGCCACACAACACAACTTGTATGTGTCTCTGTATGTGCAATGTACTCATCACAGTTGCACACCACAAAAGAAATGCGCTGTGAAAAAGCGGAGACCGTTGCAACGCGTTTTAATGGTGGTACTGGAAGCTGGTTTGGGAAATTCGGTGGATGGCGTACGTACGTATGTACGTCTCCGTACAGCCAACCAACCACAGCAGTTTCATCTCTGCTTACGCTGTTGAATTGAAAGCCGCATTCACGTGGCACATCACCACTGTGCCGTGGTTTCGTGGTATCCGCATGATGAACACTTGACCCCGTCATCCGTTACTCCAGGAAATCGAAACCGTTAAAATCTTCTAGTGCAGGCATTCATTGCCGTTGGATCAACCCTCATTTCGACATTTTCGAGGTTTGCGTCTCAGTCGGAGCAGCCAGTCATTGGACTGTCATCCAAAAAAACACGCTTAGCCTAGTACCGCTAGGTACCGCAACGGAATAAGCAGAAACAGAAGCCACCGTACTCCACCCCACAACTATTCATTCCTATTTTTGCTTCAAGACGCTCACTCATTATGGTCTGCTACAAGTCAGACTCCTCCTTCGGTTGCTCAAGCTCGTCCCATTTCTATCATCATTCCAGGACTTGTTTGTCAGGGAAAGCCGTTGTGAGGAGCAATTTTGGTTAGATTCGTAGCTGCTGGTCAACGCGTAGAAGGAATCACCTGGAATGGTAGTAGATTAGTGAAAAGTGTCACTGAGTGCTGCTCTTCGATTCTCATATTCCCTTTTCTTGCCAGAGCACTTGGTTTGTCCAGTCAAAGCCACAGATCCTGCCATCTAGCCTCTGAACTGAATCCATTCGAGTGAAATTCAGCTTCTATTCAAGCTGACCCTGAGCTGGTCACGTTTACGTTGCGTGATTGTCAAGTCTTCATTTAGCTTAGAGCAGAAGTGTCAAGTCTCCGTTTAGCTTAGAGCGGAAGTGCCGAGTCTCCGTTTAGAATTTGACGGGGGGTGGGGATGGGGAAGTTAGGGAAGGCGAAGGCGAAGGCGAAGGTGTCAGAGCAGCCGCTTAAGTACGTCGGTACGACGGACCCGATCGCCGCAGCGCGACACGTGAAATGGGCGCGAGTGGCGTTCTTCGTCGCTGTTGGAATCGATATTGCCTTCACTCTTGTAAGTCCAACCTTTCTGCGTAGCCTTGTGAATTCCGAAACGACTGACGATCGTACCTCATTTTTGCAGGATTTTCATAAGTAGCTGATAAAATTTATTATTTTTGTCCTGGCCAGACTGCGCGATCCGCTTCTTACTTTCTTTCTTCCTTTCTCTCTCTATTCTTACCCCTCATCCTTGTCTTTCTCCTCTTCGTTTCTGTCCCTGGCCAGGCTCTGCACTATTCTCTCCACAACGCCATCTGGACTCCCGATTTCAGCTCCTTCAGCGAATTCGTTAAAAGCCTCCTCAGCTTCAGATCAGACTCCCTCGATCTCATCCTTATCGCTATAGTCAGAGCAATCTCTCTGTCGATTCTGTCAGAAATAGCTGCTCGGTACGCGTGGCAGGAAGGCTGGGAGCTTGAAATTCCGAAAAAGGAGCAGAAAGGGAGGCCAGGAGGGGGATCAGGACCCAATGCAGCGAGAAGAGGGTCCCATGACATGAATGGGGGGTTGCATGCTCCGCTTCTGGCTCGGGGTACGGATAAGGAGAAGGAGAAGGAGGAAGAGGAGGAGGATGAGGAGGAGGAGAAGAAGCATGAGGTGATATCGTGGAAGAAGGAGGAGGAGGACCAGGGCTTTAAGGAGTGGATGAGCAATGTATCATCCAAGGACGTGACTGTCTTCGTCTCCTTCCTCCTCTGCACCTTCTTCCAGGTACGTGATTTTTGAGACGTCTCAAAAAACGTTTTCCAGGTCTGTGCTTCACTCACGCGTTCCTGCACTGCACCGTATGAATCCTGTTCATCGCTTGATTATTTTCGTCCGAGCTGCTGCAGGGCTGGATCACGTGTCTGTTGTGCCCTGGTTCAGCATTTTTCCCCCTCCCCTCTCCCCCCTCCCCTCGTCGCTCTTCCGTCCCCATATCCCATCTCCCCTCTCCCCTCTCCCCTGGGCCCCTCCTCCTCTCCCCTCGTCCCTCTCCCCTCTCCGTCTTTCCCCTCCAACCCAGGGAGGATCAACGCCGAGTCCACCCTCCTCTAATCCATCTCCACCGCCCTCCACCCATTACCACCCCTTCCAGGTGTATGTGGGCGCCAAGTGCGTCAACTTCGCCTTCCCCAGCGAGTTCCTGCAGGGCTGGCTGATGGGGTCGGCCATCATCTGGATCAACGCTGAGTCCACCCTCCTCGGCAACCTCTCTGAGTGCAGCGGCGTGCTTGGGCGGGCGCTGGCACTAAAGGACAAGGCGGAGCATGCGCATGTGCATGGGCATGGGCATGGGGCGAGGAGGAGGTCTTCTGAGGGGGAGAATGGAGGCGGATTGGAGGTCACGACCTCTGCTGCTGGCTCACACGGCGTTACCAGGTCAGTGGGCGGCGTTACCAGATCAGTGGGCCCTGGGAATCTCATAAGTTCTCTACCTGAACTTCCCACCCTCCTGGCCAACCTTTCCAGGTCCGTTGTTGAGGCGCTTTCAAAAATGGCCCACAACGGCTGATCAGCCACTTATAATTGAGTCTGAATATTTCCTCTCCTCGTTTGCTTCCCGTCCACCTGTCCACCTTTAAAATCCACGAACAGTGGGACAAAGAAGACAACTCGTGGGCCCAGCAGCAAGCAGCAGGGGCAGGAGGAGGCGCTAGACGAGTCAGCTCTTAGAGGGGACAAGGGAATCCGCCTGGAGAAGGTGCTCACCCCCCGGCAATATCTTCTGCGCTCCATCGGCCTCGCCTACAAGGAGCTTCCGCTCATAGTCACGGGGTTCACCTGCCTTGCTGTCACCTCTGGAGCCGGGCTGCTCATCCCCACATATCAGGTGAGGCAAGAAGGTCCCCTTGAATTGAACATGAGTCCCTTGTTCCCTCATCACCAGATAAACCCTGTCCCCGCGCTCCACTCCCATCTCCCCATACTCCCACCCCTTTTTTTCTCCCTTCCTTCCGCAGGGCCATACAGTGGACGACATGAAAGACGGGCACGTGGAAAAAGGCCAGTTCCATCGGGACATGCTGGCCATGGCGCTCTGCTCGCTCATCACCGGCATCTTCAGCGGCCTGCGCGGCCTATTCTTCTCCACGCATCCTCAAAAACCTCCAGGACAAACTCAGTTCCCACGTCCCCTCTCCCACCTTCCCTCTCGCACCTCCCGACTACCACCCTCGATTTCTCCCTCCCTCAGGGTCGCATCGTGGATTATGTGAAAGATGGGCATGTCGATATGGCCCAGTTCCATCAAGACGTCCTAGCAATGGCGCTCTGCTCGCTCATCACCGCATCTTTGGCGGCCTGCGCGGCCTCTGCTTCTCCCTCCTGGTGCCTTTCACTCACTGGCTTCCAAGCCACTCGGTCCCATCCTTATGCCCCCCTCGACCACTCACCACTCACCACCTGGTAAACTGCTTGCCCGTGCTCGCCTCCCCTTCCCTCACTCCCTCAGGGTCGAGTTGTGGATGACGTAAAAGACGGGCACGTGGACAAAGCCCAGTTCCTTCGGGACGTGCTGGCCACGGCGCTCTGCTTGCTCATCACCATTGCGACTCCCTACATCCCACACTCTCTCCCTCCCGCAGGGCCGTATAGTGGACGACGTGAAGGACGGGCACGTGGACAAAGCCCAGTTCCATCGGGACGTCCTAGCGATGGCGCTCTGCTCGCTCATCACTGGCATCTTCGGCGGGCTGCGCGGCCTCTGCTTCTCCGTGGTCGGCAAGCGCGTGCTCAAAACCCTCCAGGATAAACTCTTCGAGGGCGTGATCATCCAAGACATCGCGTATTTCGACTCGACCACCACCGGAGAGCTCACTTCTAGGTTGACCAATGACGTGGCTGCGATGAGTGAGCCGATTAATTGGCAGCTGTCGGCGCTGGTGCGGAATCTGGCGTCGCTGGTGGGCGGCGTGCTGCTGTGCTTTGTGACTTCGTGGAAGCTCAGCATCCTCGCGTTTACCACCATGGCGCCCATTCTGCACATCACGGCTGTTTACTCGCGCTGGTCGAGAGATTTGAACAGGAAGCGATACGCCGTAAGTGGCTGGTGGAGGAGGGGATGGCTGGTGGGGGAGGGGATGGCTGGTGGGTGAGGGATGGCTGGTGGGGGACGGGGATGGCTGGTGGGGGAGGGGATGGCTGGTGGGGGAGGGGATGGCTGGTGGGGGACGGGGGATGGGATAGGGAGGGGGAGAGGGGTTGGGTAAGTGTGTCTGTGTGAGAGTGTGCTATGAAAGGGACACAAACGCAGCCGATTAACTGGCAGCTGTTGACGCTGGTGCGGGAATCTGGCGTCGGTGGTGGGCGGTGTGCTGCTGTGCTTTGTGACCTTGTGGGAGTGGTATGAGAGCAAGACCATGGCAGCCATGGCCTCCCGTCCCCATTTCCATCCCCATTCCTCCCATCGCTGTGTTCCCCCACCCCTTCCCAGGTGCTAGCAGAGGCGAACAGTGCAGCATCAGAAGCTCTGTCCAACATCCGCACAGTGAGGGCATTCTCAACAGAGACGGTGGAGAGGGAGCAGTACGAGAGCAAGACCATGGCGGCCCATCTGTGCCCCTTGCCATCCCCACTGCTCCTTTCCCCCCCTTGCCTGCGTGTCCTTCTCTGGCAGGTGCTAGCAGAGGCGAACAGTGCAGCATCGGAGGCCTTGAGCAATATCCGCGCAGTGCGCGCGTTTTCCACCGAAGGGGTGGAGAGGGAGCAGTACGAGAGCAAGACCATGGCAGCCATGTCCTCCCGTCCCGTCCCTCGTGTGGTGTCTGTCCCGTCACCTCACATCTCCATTCCCTCCCATCCCTTCGTCCTCCAATCCCTGTTCCCTCTGTCCCCCCGTCTCACCCCTCGCTTCCCAGGTGCTAGCAGAGGCGAACAGTGCAGCATCGGAGGCCTTGAGCAATATCCGCACAGTGCGGGCATTCTCAACAGAGGGGGTGGAGAGGGAGCGGTACGAGAGCAAGACCATGGCGGCCATGGCAAAGGGCGTGAGGGACGCCCTTGCCTACTCCGGCGCCGTCGCCATCAACAACTGGCTCGACCTGGGGGCGTCCGTGCTCATCCTCTGGTGGGTTGGGTCTGCTGTGGTGTGCTGGGGGTGTGTAGGTGGGATGTGGGTGGGACGTACGTGAGGGACGCCCTTGCCTATTCCGGCGCCGTCGCCATCAACAGCTGGCTCGACCTGGTGGCGTCCGTGCTCATCCTCTAGTGGGTTGGGTCTGTCACCAAATATAATGGTAAGAGCATCATATTGGAGACATGTGCTAATTGGGTGTAGAAGTGGTGTAGCGAGTGTTATTCAATCTGCATGTGGGGTAGTTGGGTTATAGAGAGTAGCGAGAAGTTGGTAGCACTGGGGGTTACAGGGCGCTTCGGGGACAATTTCAGGAACCTCGGGAGACAGGCAATCTGGCGAGGGCCACTTCAAGGCCTAGGCGGCTCGAGCTCAACCCAGCACGCTGAGTTACTCGCGACTGGGCAGCCAAGCACAAATAGCCTAGCCTAGCATAGCAAACCTGTTCTCTCGTCTTGTTTGCCTCATATAGTGGATAACGTTACCGCAACAAGGCTACGCTAGCTAGATGACTACGCCACTGTGGGCAGCCATCGTGTGGGAGAGTAAACTTCTCGGTAGTGGCTGAGAACGCAGAAGGGAACAGGGTCACGGGAGTGGGGACAGCACAAGGTGGGGAAAGGCCAGAATAAGAAGGAAGGGAAGAAGGTGAGGACAGAAGGCAGGGAATAGGCAGGGGCAAGGGAGGAGTGAGGAAGGAGAAGGGAAGAACTCCGACAGGTCTGCTATGGTGTGTTGGGGGTATGTGGGTGGGATGTGGGTGGGACGTACGTGAGGGACGCCCTTGCCTATTCCGGCGCCGTCTCCATCAACAGCTGGCTCGACCTGGGGGCGTCCGTGCTCATCCTCTGGTGGGTTGGGTCTGCTGTGGTGTGTTGGGGGTATGTGGGTGGGATGTGGGTGGGACGTACGTGAGGGACGCCCTTGCCTATTCCGGCGCCGTCTCCATCAACAGCTGGCTCGAACTGGGGGCGTCCGTGCTCATCCTCTGGTGGGTTGGGTCTGCTGTGGTGTGTTGGGGGTATGTGGGTGGGATGTGGGTGGGACGTACGTGAGGGACGCCCTTGCCTATTCCGGCGCCGTCTCCATCAACAGCTGGCTCGACCTGGGGGCGTCCGTTCTCATCCTCTGTTGCGTTCATTCGGCCTTGTGTGGTGGGGGTGTGTTGGGGGCTTTTGAGACGTCTCAAAAGTCGTTCTGATTCGCTGGTGGGTTCATGCAGCCTTGTGTGTTGTGGGTGTGTTGGGGGTACGTTGGGCGTACAGAGGTGCGCTGGTGATGCAGGGGCACATGCAGCTGGGTCCGCTGATCCAGCTCTACTGGAATTGGTTCCAGTCAGGGACTACCAAGCATCTCGTTCCGTCTCCCTCCTCTTCTTGTCCCCCATTTTCCGTATCTCTCAGGTACGGAGGGGTGTTGGTGACGGAGGGGCACATGCGCCTGGACCAGCTCATCGCCTTCCAGCTCTGCTGGAACCTCATCCAGTTGGGGGCCCTGGGTACCAAGCACCTCATTCCATCTCCCGCTTTCCACCTTTCTTGTCCCCCATTTTCTGTATCTCTCAGGTACGGAGGGGTGTTGGTGATGGAGGGGCACATGCGCCTGGACCAGCTCATCGCCTTCCAGCTCTACTGGAACCTCATCCAGTCGGGGTACCACGAACCTCATTCTGGCTCTCCCTTTCCCCCTTCCCTCTATTCCTCTCCCCCATTTCAACGACCCCAGGTACGGAGGGGTGTTGGTGATGGAGGGGCACATGCGCCTGGGCCAGCTCATCGCCTTTCAGCTCTATTGGAACCTCATCCAGTCGGGGTATCAGAGCATCATGTCTGTACTCATGTCCCTCACCAAGGCCTCTGGCGCCGCTCAGCGAGTGCTCTCCCTCATCGACTCGCTGCCAGATATTGACCCTGATGCGGGCACCAAGGTAGGGTTCTGTGTGTGTGTGTGTGTGCATATACAGACGAGTTTTGAGGTGCATCAAAGCTCACCAAGGCCTCTGACGCTGCCCGAGGGTGCTCTCCCTCATCGACTCTCTGCCAGATATCGACCCTGACAAGGGCACCAAGGTGTGTGGGGATCGGAATAGCAGTGGGTGTTTGGAGTGTGGGGGTCCAGTCGGGGTATCAGAGCATCATGTCGGTGCTCATGTCCCTCACCAAGGCCCCTGGTGCTGCTCAGAGGGTGCTCTCCCTCATCGACTGACTCACTGCCTGACATTGACCCTGATGCGGGCACCAAGGTAGGGAGGTGTGTGTGAGAGAAAGAAGAAAGCAGAGGGCAATGCTGGCCTGGCGTCAGTGTCGGAGAGGGTGACTATGAGTGCAAGGGTGACTATGAGTGCAAGGGTGACTATGAGTGCAAGGGTGACTATGAGTGCAAGGGTGTCGTGTCAGTGCAAGGGTGACTATGAGTGCAAGGGTGTCGTGTCAGTGCAAGGGTGACTATGAGTGCAAGGGTGTCGTGTCAGTGCAAGGATGACTATGAGTGCAAGGGTGTCGTGTCAGTGCAAGGGTGACTATGAGTGCAAGGGTGTCGTGTCAGTGCAAGGGTGACTATGAGTGCAAGGGTGTCGTGTCAGTGCAAGGGTGACTATGAGTGCAAGGGTGTCGTGTCAGTGCAAGGGTGACTATGAGTGCAAGGGTGTCGTGTCAGTGCAAGGGTGTCGTGTCAGTGCAAGGGTGTCGTGTCAGCGCAAGGGTGTCGTGTCAGTGCAAGGGTGTCGTGTCAGTGCAAGGGTGTCGTGTCAGTGCAAGGGTGTCGTGTCAGTGCAAGGGTGTCGTGTCAGTGCAAGGGTGTCGTGTCAGTGCAAGGGTGTCGTGTCAGTGCAAGGGTGACTATGAGTGCAAGGGTGTCGTGTCAGTGCAAGGGTGACTATGAGTGCAAGGGTGTCGTGTCAGTGCAAGGGTGACTATGAGTGCAAGGGTGTCGTGTCAGTGCAAGGGTGACTATGAGTGCAAGGGTGTCGTGTCAGTGCAAGGGTGACTATGAGTGCAAGGGTGTCGTGTCAGTGCAAGGGTGACTATGAGTGCAAGGGTGTCGTGTCAGTGCAAGGGTGACTATGAGTGCAAGGGTGTCGTGTCAGTGCAAGGGTGACTATGAGTGCAAGGGTGTCGTGTCAGTGCAAGGGTGTCGTGTCAGTGCAAGGGTGTCGTGCCAGTGCAAGGGTGTCGTGTCAGTGCAAGGGTGTCGTGTCAGTGCAAGGGTGTCGTGTCAGTGCAAGGGTGTCGTGTCAGTGCAAGGGTGTCGTGTCAGTGCAAGGGTGTCATGTCAGTGCAAGGGTGTCGTGTCAGTGCAAGGGTGTCGTGTCAGTGCAAGGGTGTCGTGTCAGTGCAAGGGTGTCGTGTCAGTGCCTGCACTTCCATTACCAGATGAGATGCCTGCAACAACCCAATCAGTCTTCCATCCCTTGTCTCTTCTCACTCTTTTTTTCCTATGCTCAATCACCAGGTGTCAACACTGCAGGGATCCATCCGCATGGAGGATGTTCACTTCCACTACCAGATGCGCCCAGACCACCCCGTGCTCAAAGGTGTGTTGGCTACCTTCCTGGGTAACGCCCTGCTTTACTGTCACTACCCACCATGTGTTAGTAGCACCTACAATAGTAGCGTCCAGCTTTAGTGTCGCTACCTGCCGCATTCTAGTAGGAACCCACTCTAGTGCTGCCCTTATCTTGTGCTGTGCTGCCCCCCCTCCCTCATTTTCAAAACCACTACTCCAGGAGTGTCTTTCCACGTGGATCCAGGGCAAGTGCTCGCCATGGTGGGTCACAGTGGTGGGAGCAAGTCCACAGTCGTGTATCTTCTCATACGCTTCTACGATCCCTCCTTCCCTGTCTTCCTCTGTCCCCTGTCCCTTATTCCCTTCAGGAGTATCCCTCCACGTGGATCCAGGCCAAGTGCTCGCCCTGGTGGGTCGCAGCGGGGGAGGCAAGTCAACCGTGGTGCATCTGCTCATGCGCTTCTACGATCCTGTCCAAGGCCGCATCGTGATGGACGGCCGAGATCTGCGCGAGCTGAATCTACGGTCGGTGCACGCGCACATGGGGCTGGTGGCGCAGGACACGCAGATGTGGGCATGCAGCATCGAGGAGAATATCGCGTATGGCTTGCCTTCCTACACTCGAGCCGAAGTGGAGGAGGCTGCCAAGTAAGAGTGTGTGCAATCTGTAGTATGAAAATATGTGGGGCTAGTGGGGGCATCAGCACATGGGGCTGGTGGCGCAGGACACGCAGATGTGGGCATGCAGCATCGAGGAGAATATCGCGTATGGCTTGCCTTCCTACACTCGAGCCGAAGTGGAGGAGGCTGCCAAGTAAGAGTGTGTGCAATCTGTAGTATGCAAATATGTGGGGCTAGTGGGGGCATCAGCACATGGGGCTGGTGGCGCAGGACACGCAGATGTGGGCATGCAGCATCGAGGAGAATATCGCGTATGGGCTGCCGTGTTACACTCGAGCCGAGGTTGAAGAAGCTGCCAAGTGAGTGTCATTGGGAGATGCAGCACTGGGGGATGTTGCGACTGTTGAGGCGCCTCAAAAGGCGCATGTGTATATGTACATTCAGATGTGAACATGCAGCATCGAGGTTAAATTCGAGGAGAAAACCCGAAACCCTGTCGTAACTTTTTGCCCTCTGCTCTCCTTGCAACTCTTCTTTGCAGGCACGCCAATGCGCATGATTTCATCACCCAGTTCCCCGCGGGTTATGCCATGCGCCGGGCTTGTGGGAGTGCTTGTTGCTGAATTGATTTCCTGCGTGTTTTTCTCGCATCTCTTCCTTGCAGGCACGCCAACGCACACGATTTCATCACCAAGTTCCCCGAGGGTTACGCTACACGCGTGGGAGAGAGGGGAGTGCGACTCTCAGGCGGTCAGAGGCAGGTGAGGCCAAGAGAGGAGAGCTGAGACCAACAGAGGTCAGGTGAGACAAGACCTGGACCTTCAAAGTCTGATGAGGTTAGCTCAGTGAGCCTTATACAACTAACTAGTAATACCATAAGAAAAAATGTTGGAAAAAAAAGAAAAAAAAAAAAACAACCAAACAAACGTTTGGCATGGAATCTTCTCTTTTATTGCTCATCCCTGATCTACAGCGCATAGCCATTGCCCGGATGCTGCTGCGCCGCCCGCGCGTGCTCCTATTGGACGAAGCCACGTCAGCGTTGGACGCGGAGAGTGAGGCGCTGGTGCAGGGCGCGCTGGACCGGCTGATCGCGGAGGGCGGGCGCACCATCGTGCTCGTGGCTCACCGGCTGTCCACCGTGCGCAATGCTGACAGCATCTGCGTGCTGGAAGGGGGGCGGGTCGCTGAGCATGGCACGCATGAGCAGCTGCTGGAAATTCGTGAGTGTCGATGGGTGGTAGAGGGAAGGGACGAGTTGTTGTTTCTTGTCGAGTGTGTGTACAGCAAGTGAGTGCGTGCAATAGGTGATGGTAAGTGCAGGGTGAAGGTAAGCCCACATGCACGGGTAGCTGCTGGCTTTATGCAAGAAACTGCTCATAACTGGCGGATTGTCTCTTTTCCACACGAGGCCGTTGGGGGGCCACAGTAACACAATTTCATGCTTCCTATCCTACCTACATTTCTCTTCTGGTGTGTCTGTTGTCGCTTCCTTCCAGCGAATGGAGTGTACGAGAGATTAGTACGACGGCAGCTAAGCAAGGCAGCCAACACCCTTGGGGGAATCGAGTCGTCAGCAGCAGCAGCCGACAAGCATGATCGCATTGACAATTTGATAGAGGAAGTGCACTGAGGTGCACGAGTTTGCCTTAGCATAGTAACCATGTGATCTGATCTGGTCTGCTCAGCAGCCATGATAGAGCAGAGACTGTAGTTAGTGATATTTTTTGTTGAGAACTTGCAGCAGTCCCACCCTCACATTTGCAGAATACCAGTGCTAGTGTGATTGGAAAAATGTAAAATCATCAGCCTGGCTATTGAATACGGTATGTCGAAACCAGTAGGCGGAATAGGGGTAGGTAAATGTTGGTTCCCACATTTTGGATACCATATTTTCCAGCTGATGCAACGTCAAGGTTTTTTGTTTTTTAGGATATTTTGATTTGCTTCCACAACTTTCTTTAGGGTTGCCAAATCCCATTTCACTTTTGTTTTGGTCCCCGTGTGGGGAGGGGTGCGCCTTCCTCAGAGATAGTGCAATACTGAGGCGACGCGCACAGGGCCGACCAGCAAGCTGGCCATTGGCACCTGCCCCCGAAAGAAATTAATTTAATATCATGTGGACCGATGGTCCACGTATCAGATATTAAACTGATAAGAACAGATACTACACTTGATCTTAGCCAAAAGGCCGAGAAAGGTATGCCTACATTTCCTCAAACTTTCGTTCTTATTTTCCGAAATTTGCACCGTCCATTTCTGCGGTATGGGCCCGGTTGCTGGCGTGGGAAGCTGAGAGCTTTCCTCACGATACATCCTTTCAACCCAAACTCGTGCCTCTCAATTCATCCCTCTCTGTTTCGATAGAGAGCAGCTTTTGTTCCACATCCTCAGCTTTCACACATAGGCATTGTCGCTGGCGGGAGTGGCGGCGGCGCGTCAGTCCTCGTAGCCTTAGGTCGTAGCGCTTTGGTTTTCAATTACCTTTGTCTTCTAATACAGCGAAGTAAAGCACCGTAGTACGGCCTTAGTTCTTGCGAGTGCTCTTCTTGTTGGGCTTCATCTCCTCTGTTCGGTGCCGTTATTGGCTCTGCTTTTTCGATTTTATAGAAAATTTCAGAAATTGCTTCTGTAGAAATTTCAATCAACTTTTGATTCAGCATTCCGTGGTTTCCGTGTCGTCGCTCGCTCGGGGCGTACTGCTGAGCGTTGAGGAACTAACTCACGCTCAGGTTGTGCGCTTTGATGTGAAATCGCGGCTGACAGCCAGGATCCTTGCAGCTCTTCGCGGCGGATTTCCTAGATTCTTGTTCCGCGCCATTGGTTCACGGTTTCAGTTTCCCCTCCCTCTTCCGTCAGGAGTTTCTCAACAAGTTCCTACGCTTGCGCTTTTATATACATATATATACCATTCCTCCTTGCCTTACAGTTATAGCTTTCTGACGGGCCGTGCCCGTCACACGCAACGCTACTGTTCTGCCTGTTCCGCGTCTCTCCCGTTTTTCCTTTCATAGACCTCACATTCATTCCACGCACCGCAAACATCATGCGAACCGTACTATGACATCCTGTATCCCTTCCCACAACTCTCATGCTTCCTCGCAGGTCCCACGCTGAATCCGCAGATTCTTATTCTTCGTTTGCAAACCAGTTAGGCGATTTTCTCCGCCTCCTGGAAACAGCTAGCCATTTGTTCCCCTCATGTCCTGATGGTTCTGGCAGACTAGCATTTCTGTCAGACTAGCATCCCGCTGGTTCTAGCAGACTAGCAAAACGACGTGGTGCGGTTGTAGAATGTAAACGGACGGTGCACCTATTTATTCAGAGAAATTCAACTGGTGTACCAAGATATATTCCTTCAAATTCAAATCATCACTTGACTGGCTGATAAAACTGATTTGATCCTAAACCCTTTTTTCTTTTTCCCGGTTGACCAGCCTACAACGTTTTGGGTGTTAGAAGTGAGCAGACTGTGTCAAGCTCCCTTGGCACAGAAATGCTGCCGGAAGATGGTTAGCACATCCTTTTCCTGCCTTTCTCTTCTTTTTCTCCGGCATTAAACTGCAGATACTGTAGCAGAGGCATTGTACCGGCGGTGCTGATCCGGTTGTATACTGATCCAGTTGTAGCGGAGAGAAGGGCACGCACTGTACCAGGCTGGCTGCACCTGGAAAGCATTATTTTGGCGCCTTCAAAGTAAACCGGACCGTCATGCCGCAATTTTCTTGGCACAGGTGCAGTGGCTTTACTTAGCACGGAAGTCGTGCCGGAAAATGGTTAGGTTCTGAGTGAACTTGTCTCGGTTCTTGGGGTCGAGGTTCCGCCCCACATCCGCCATCAGCTTGTCAAAGCACTCGGCTATGCGCGGCCGCTGATCCGATGGCTGGGGTGAGGGGGATAGGGAGAGAGTGAGGGAGGGAGTAAAGGTGAATGAAATACAGGGAGACACAGAGGCACTGCGATTTTGGGGAGGAGGAGAGGGGAATCCGTTGAGGCTATTGAAGGGACAAAACAATGGAGAATTGAGAGTGGTGGAGAAGTGAGATTTGGGGTGCAGGTTCCGCCCCACATCCGCCATCAGCTTGTCAAAGCACTCTGCTATGCGCGGCCGCTGATCCGATGGCTGGGAGATAGGGAGAGAGGGACAAGCGGGGGTTTGGGTCGAGGTTCCGCCCCACATCCGCCATCAGCTTGTCAAAGCACTCCGCTATGCGCGGCCGCTGATCCGATGGCTGGGAGATAGGGAGATAGGGAGGTAGGGAGAGAGGGACAAGCGGGGGTTTGGGTCGAGGTACCTGACGTGAATGTGCTTCACTCTGCTCTCCAGTCGCGGCTCACGACAGAGGAGGATCGACGCCTTGTTGTCAGTAAACAAGGTCGGTGCAGAGCTCGGCCGCTCACCAAGGTCGGCGAGCAAGAAGGTCAACCACCGCAACTCCTGTGCCGCCATGGCACCAGCGTAAATCTCAGCCTCAGCTGTAGAGGTCGAGACAGAAGAGGAGCGCGTGGAACGCCAGGAAACAGCTCCAGAACCCAGACTGAAACAGTACCCCTGAGTAGACCTGTGAGTCTCAGCGTCGTCAGCGTAAGAGGAGTCACAGTGACCAGTGAGTACGACAGACTGCTGCCCTCCAAGAACTAGCCCCACGCCTGATGTAGTCGCTAGGTACTTCGCCACCCTCACAGCTGCCGTCCAGTGAACAGGACGGTGTCTCCCTGGCGCAACAAAGCGCGCAAGGATGCTGAGAGGGAAGGCGAGGTCCGGGCGAGTACAAGTCATCAGGTACATGAGGCAACCCACAAGCTCTGCGTAGGGACCACTAGGCTCAAACGGCTCGTCAGGAAAGGGACCAGTGAGTCTGTGGTCAACAGCTAGAGGTGTGCGCTATACGGTGGAGTGCTGAAGCCCGAACCGCTGAAGGACCTGCTGCACCATGTGTGACTGTGAGAGTGTAATGGTGCGAGCGGCTCTGTCCCTGGTGATCTGCAGGCCAAGGTAGTGGCGCAGCTCACCAAGATCAGTGCACGTGTGTCTCTTCTGCAGTTCGGACTTCACGTCTGCCAAAGCAACCCTGTCCGGAGTGGCGAAAACGAGGTCGTCGACGTAGACCAGAACAAAGAACGGTGTGGAGCCACGGCGAACGAACAGCGACGGGTCGGCAGAAGACGGCTGGAACCCAAGGTCAGAGAGGGTAGAACGCAGAGTGTCGTGCCACTCACGAGGGGCCTGGCGAAGACCGTAAACAGGTCGCCTCAGCCTCCACTGGGTCCCAGGAAAGAAAGTGCCAGTGAAGGCCGAGGGACGACGCAACCAGACCTCCTCGTGTAGACTGCCCTGAAGGAAAGCAGTGGAGAAGTCAAGAGAGTGTAACTCGTAGTCTCTCTGTGCTGCTACGTGTAGTAACACCCGAAGAGTGGTCATCTTCGGGGTAGGTGCGAAGGTCTGAAAGAAGTCAACTCCCTCGCGCTGACTGAAACCTCTAGCCACGTAGCGCGCCTTGAAGACCGGGGGAGATCCCGGTGGCCGCTTCACCCTGTAGATCCACATGCCGTCGACTACGTTCGCCCCAGGGGGGGGAACCTCATCGACGTAGGTGCCTGTGGATCTGTAGGAGGCCATCTCTGCGTCCATGGCAGCTCTCCACTGAGAGGCCCAAGGCCCTGACACTGCCTCAGCGTAAGTGCGAGGAGTCGGAATGTCAAGGGCGTCGGGGTCACCCTCAGGGGCGAGGAGCATGGCACAAAGATGAGGGGAAGCGGCCGCCAGGAACTCTAGCTCAAACTGCCTGTCCTCTAGGGCGTCACAGCCAAGGGCAGACACACCCCCGACGGCCAGAGGACTGGTAGGAGGAGCAGCCACAAGCGTGGTGGCGTAGTCAAGGCGACGGGTAGAGGCAAAGTCAGTAACTGCGGCAGTAAGAGCGGACACAGAGGACACAGAGGCACGAGGGTGAGTAACAAGAGAGGCGAGAACACGAGAGAGAACAGGACGGTACGTGCGGTAGTAGTCAGTGACAGGAGTAGGGAGTGACACAGTGAGGGCCGACTCAGGAGGAGACGGAAGCACAGACTGAGACGGACGAGGTGGACTAGAAAGAAGGAAGGAAGTACGAAGGTCAGTGAAGGGAACAGGAGACGAGGGACGAGCACGAGGGGAGCGACGAGTAGCCCAAGAACGAGACGGAGGAGGAGAGGACAAAGGCGGAGAACTGGGGAAAACAGCGGGGGAGGAGTCAGGAGGAGGAAACGTGGGACCGTAGACAGGAGGAGAGGCGGAGGAGGGAGGAGAAGGGGAGGGGAGACCAAGGATCCGAAGACCCGAGACAGGAGGAGGAAGTGGCTGCTGCTGCTGCGGCTGCGAGTGCTGCTCCTGCGGACGCGGCTGCTGCTGGGACTGCTGCTCCTGCGGGTCCAGCTGCTTCTGCTGGTGCTGCTGCTCCTGCGGCTCCAGCTGCTGCTGCTGCTCCTCCAGCCGCTGTAACTCCCTCTCCTCTCTCTCCAACGCCAGCTGCTCGTCACGGGCACGGCGAACACGAGCCTGGTGCCTAGTCGGGTTGGGGTGGGGGGGTGGAGTAGTGTCCGAAGCAGCGGCAGCTCCAGAGTCCACCTCAGAAGAACTAGGCGCACCACCCCCAGAGGCAGCACTAACACCAGCTCCAGAACCAGGCTCACCTGAACCCGAAGGAGGCGCACCCTCACCCCCAGACGCAGCACCCCCAGTGTCCGCGCGGCCAGCACCAGCTCCCGGACGACAAGAGTCCTCTGCACCCACCGGGTCAGCTCCAACTCCAGAACCAGAAACTCCAGCTCCAACCCCAGCTCCAACTCCAGCACCCCCAGAACCAGAAACTCCAGTGCCAACTCCAGCTCCAACTCCAGCTCCAACACCAGCACCCCCAGAACCAGAAACCGGTACAGGAACAGGCGCCGCACCAACCTCTCGAGAGCTAGCACCAGCGGCACGCTGCGAGGAGGACTGTGGGGAGGGAGGCTGTACCGGAGGGGCTACCGAAGGAGGAGGGGTAGCCTGGGACACACCTGACGGGGCTGGACCAGGGGGGGGAGGCTGTACCGGGGGAGCAGGAGGGGGAACGGCAGTCAGGAAGAGGGGGGGAGGAGGAACCGGGAGACCTCGACTGGGGTACCTGACGTAGTACGGAGTGGACTCCTCGAAACGGACGTCACGGGAGTCAAAGAACCGGTGAGAGGGAGGGTGGTAAAAGGTGAAGTCAGAGGAGTCCTCAGGGAAACCAAGGAAGACACAGGGGACGGCACGAGGCGAGAGCTTGTCCGCGGATGTGTCGCGGACAAGAGCCAAGCACCCCCAGACACGAAACCGCGACGCAACACCAGGGGACCCTGTCCAAAGACTGGTCGGTGAAACCTCTGGTCGAGAGACACGTGGCCAGAGGTTCAGCTGGTGCGCGGCGTACCTGACCGCGTAGGGCCACAGAAAATGGGGGGCACAGGCGTGAGTCAGGGAGGTGCGGGCGATCTCCATGACCAGGCCTATGCGGCGCTCAGCAACCCCATTCTGCTGTGGGGACTCTGGAAGCGTCCAGGACTGACGAATGCCCTGCTCGCGACAGAATCCAGCGAGAATGCCGGAGCGAAACTCACCCCCACGGTCGAAGTGGAGACAGCTGACACGACGACCACGAGTGTCCTCAGTGGTGAGCAACCACCTGATCAGCGTAGAAGTCACCTCAGACTTCTTCGCCAGAGGGAACACTGTGGTGTAGCGGGAGAAGTCGTCAACGACCACCAGAAAGTAACGCTCACGCTCAGGGCCTAGACGAGGGGCTGGGCCCCAGACGTCCAAGTGAAGCGTCTCAAAAGGCTCGGTGGCCGGACGAAGGGAGGAGGAGTGAGGGGTGGCGCGCAGCCTACCCTCGACGCAGGGACGACACGGCGGCGCAGGCGAAGGCGGCAGCGACGGCAAGACACGTGGGAGGCCTAGGACAAGACGCTGACTAGACATAGCGCGCAGACGTGGAAGGGACGGGTGCCCCATCCGGTGGTGCCACAGAACGGTGGGGTGGGCAAGCGACCGGCAGGAGCACGACGCAGCGACTGGAACAGACGTAGGAACCTGACACGACACAGACACCTGGGTGGACGTAGCAACCTGGTGAGACGCGGGGACCCGAACGTGGGGGGGAACCGGGGGCAGTGGCAGTAGGGGGGGCTGCTGGTGCGGCCGCTGGTGCTGCTGCTGCTGCTGCTGCTGCGGCTGCGGCTGCTGCTGCTGCTGCGGCTGCTGCTGCGGCGCACGCGGGCCAGTGTGAAGAGTGTAGAGACCCGAGCCCGGCTCAGCAGTAAAGGTAGCAAGAGGCTGGTAAGAGTCTCCGTCAACACACACCGCAGTCTCTCCAGAAGGCTCAAACCACACACCCACGTGCTGACTCACGAGGGGTCGCACGCCCACCAAGTTCCGGGAGAACGAGGGGACGTGAAACCCAGTGAGAGACCCGGAGGGAGCAGCAGGACACGGTAAAGTGGTAGTGTGACGTGCAGTGACTGGTCCCGTAGTGGGATCAGCCAACGCTACAGAAACAGGCGCAGGAAGTGGTGTAAGTGTCATGCTGTCCCGAAAGAAGCAGTGGGAGGCTCCAGAGTCCAGTGTGAACGACAGCGAAGCGTCCTCTGAGGTAGTCGCTGGTCTAGAGTCTACACAAGTACCTACACTAGCAACAGGCAACTGAGCAAGACTAGCACCTAAGCTAACAACACTAGAGTAAACAGAGTCAGAAACACTAGAGTCAACAACAGCATACATAGCATGAGGAGCACTAATCAGATCAACTAACTGCTCAGCAGACATGCCCCACAGAGCGGAGCCGTAGCGCTGAACCAGAGGAAGCCAGTCAGGAGCAGGACCGCCAACCCCGTAGGTCAACCGGACCGTGTCAGTGAGCTGAGCAAAGCACTGACCAGGGGGGTGAAAGCGGCCACAAGGGTGGCCCCGACGAGGACCTGTCTGAACCTGGTAGGGGCAGGGAGGGTAAGCAGCACCGCGCTGGGGCTGACGCAGCCCCGACCCCGGAGCCAGCTGCTGACGCTGCTGCTGCTGAGGCTGCTGGGAGGAAAGGGGCTGCTGCTGCTGCTGAAGGTGCTGCTGACGCTGAGCCTGGTACCACGCCGCTGCTCCACCTAGCGGGGCCGGCAGTACAGGAGGCGACTGACGAGCTCGAGGGTCGCCGCCACCAGCAGGTGCAGTGGAGTCACCAGCCGCTGCACGAGGGGTCTCTCCAGACGCTGCACTCCCACCACTGCCAGTCGCAATAGCACCCCCACTACCTCCGCTACCTCCGCCTCCACCTCCACCGGAACCACCTTTCTTGCCCCCCCTGCCGCGGGACCGCGACGCAGTCGTAACAGCAGCCGCAGTCGCGTCAGTAGCGGCAGTGGCAAGAGAGGCAGTGAAGGTGGGTAACTGCGGGACTGTGCACCCGTGGAAGAGTGGGGGGGACACAGTACCAGAGGCGGCAGCTACCGAACGAAGTTTGCTCTCGACGTCCTTGAGTGCAGACTCAAGGACCTCGATAGTCAGCTCACTAGGGTGCTAGTGAAATTGATAGTCAGACACATTCAATCAATAGTCAGACACATTCAATCAATATTGTACTCACATTCAATCAATATTGTACTCACTAGGACACATTCAATCAATATTGTTCTCACTAGGGTGCTAGTGAAATCGATAGTCAGACACATTCAATCAATATTGTACTCACTAGGATCAGGCTCGGGAGGTACGAACGGAGAACGGAGGAACGGGATCCCACAGGATCCTAACCTAGCTGATACCATGTCAAAATGAGGAATGGATGTTGCATTGATGTTGGTTGGGGTACATATGACAAACCCTAACTTCTGTACCTCACTACAGGCTACAACATTTGACATTGAGAGTGGTGGAGAAGTGAGATTTGGGGTGCAGGTTCCGCCCCACATCCGCCATCAGCTTGTCAAAGCACTCTGCTATGCGCGGCCGCTGATCCGATGGCTGGGAGATAGGGAGAGAGGGACAAGCGGGGGTTTGGGTCGAGGTTCCGCCCCACATCCGCCATCAGCTTGTCAAAGCACTCCGCTATGCCCGGCCGCTGATCCGATGGCTGGGAGATAGGGAGATAGGGAGGTAGGGAGAGAGGGACAAGCGGGGGTTTGGGTCGAGGTTCCGCCCCACATCCGCCATCAGCTTGTCAAAGCACTCCGCTATGCGCGGCCGCTGGTCCGATGGCTGGGAGATAGGGAGAGAGGGAGAGAGGGACAAGCGGGGGTTTGCGTCGAGGTTCCGCCCCACATCCACCATCAGCTTGTCAAAGCACTCCGCTATGCGCGGCCGCTGGTCCGATGGCTGGGAGATAGGGAGATAGGGAGAGAGGGACAAGCGGGGGTTTGGGTCGAGGTTCCGCCCCACATCCGCCATCAGCTTGTCAAAGCACTCTTCTATGCACGACCGCTAGTCCGATGGCTGGGAGATAGGGATATCAGGAGACATGGAGACAGAGAGAGGGGGAGACACGCAGATTGGGATAGAGGGAGGAAAGAAGGCAGGGAGAGGGGGAGGAGAGGGGAAAGGGAGGGGCCGGGGGGTGTTGAAGGCTATTGAAGGGACAAGAGAATGGAAGAGTGAGGATCGTGGAGAAGCGAGAGTTGGGGTGCAGGTTCCGCCCCACATCCGCCATCAGCTTGTCAAAGCACTCTGCTGATTCGATGGCTGTCAAAGGGAGGCGGAAAGATAAGGGACAGGCGAAAACAGGGGAGGTGAGGGTAAGCGCCCACCGAGGGAAGGATGCAGCAAGCAAGAATGAGAAAAAAAAGTTGTGATTAAATATTTTGGTTCACGTCTGATCCCTGTCCTTGTGTGCAAGGGGTGTGTTGGGGGCTTTTGAGACGTCTCAAAAGTCGTTCCGATTCTCTGGTGCGTTCATTCAACCTTGTGTGCTGGGGGTGTGTTGGGGGCTTTTGAGACGTCTCAAAAGTCGTTCCGATTCTCTGGTGCGTTCATTCAACCTTGTGTGCTGGGGGTGTGTTGGGGGCTTTTGAGACGTCTCAAAAGTCGTTCCGATTCTCTGGTGCGTTCATTCGACCTTGTGTGCTGGGGGTGTGTTGGGGGCTTTTGAGACGTCTCAAAAGTCGTTCTGATTCTCTGGTGCGTTCATTCAGCCTTGTGTGCTGGGGGTGTGTTGGGGGCTTTTGAGACGTCTCAAAAGTCGTTCTGATTCTCCGGTGCGTTCATTCAGCCTTGTGTGCTGGGCGTGTGTTGGGGGCTTTTGAGACGTCTCAAAAGTCGTTCTGATTCTCTGGTGCGTTCATTCAGCCTTATGTGCTGGGCGTGTGTTGGGGGCTTTTGAGACGTCTCAAAAGTCGTTCTGATTCTCTGGTGCGTTCATTCAGCCTTGTGTGGTGGGGGTGTGTTGGGGGCTTTTGAGACGTCTCAAAAGTCGTTCTGATTCTCTGGTGCGTTCATTCAGCCTTGTGTGGTGGGGGTGTGTTGGGGGCTTTTGAGACGTCTCAAAAGTCGTTCTGATTCTCTGGTGCGTTCATTCAGCCTTGTGTGGTGGGGGTGTGTTGGGGGCTTTTGAGACGTCTCAAAAGTCGTTCTGATTCTCTGGTGCGTTCATTCAGCCTTGTGTGGTGGGGGTGTGTTGGGGGCTTTTGAGACGTCTCAAAAGTCGTTCTGATTCTCTGGTGCGTTCATTCGGCCTTGTGTGGTGGGGGTGTGTTGGGGGCTTTTGAGACGTCTCAAAAGTCCTTCTGATTCTCTGGTGCGTTCATTCGGCCTTGTGTGGTGGGGGTGTGTTGGGGGCTTTTGAGACGTCTCAAAAGTCGTTCTGATTCTCTGGTGCGTTCATACGGCCTTGTGTGGTGGGGGTGTGTTGGGGGCTTTTGAGACGTCTCAAAAGTCGTTCTGATTCTCTGGTGCGTTCATACGGCCTTGTGTGCTGGGGGTGTGTTGGGGGCTTTTGAGACGTCTCAAAAGTCGTTCTGATTCTCTGGTGCGTTCATACAGCCTTGTGTGCTGGGGGTGTGTTGGGGGCTTTTGAGACGTCTCAAAAGTCGTTCTGATTCTCTGGTGCGTTCATACGGCCTTGTGTGCTGGGGGTGTGTTGGGGGCTTTTGAGACGTCTCAAAAGTCGTTCTGATTCTCTGGTGCGTTCATACGGCCTTGTGTGCTGGGGGTGTGTTGGGGGCTTTTGAGACGTCTCAAAAGTCGTTCTGATTCTCTGGTGCGTTCATACAGCCTTGTGTGGTGGGGGTGTGTTGGGGGCTTTTGAGACGTCTCAAAAGTCGTTCTGATTCTCTGGTGCGTTCATACAGCCTTGTGTGCTAGGGGTGTGTTGGGGGCTTTTGAGACGTCTCAAAAGTCGTTCTGATTCTCTGGTGCGTTCATTCGGCCTTCTGTGCTGGGAATGTGTTGGGGGCTTTTGAGACGTCTCAAAAGTCGTTCTGATTCTCTGGTGCGTTCATACGGCCTTGTGTGCTGGGGGTGTGTTGGGGGCTTTTGAGACGTCTCAAAAGTCGTTCTGATTCTCTGGTGCGTTCATACGGCCTTGTGTGCAGGGGGTGTGTTGGGGGCTTTTGAGACGTCTCAAAAGTCGTTCTGATTATCTGGTGCGTTCATTCAGCCTTGTGTGGTGGGGGTGTGTTGGGGGCTTTTGAGACGTCTCAAAAGTCGTTCTGATTCTCTGGTGCGTTCATTCAGCCTTGTGTGGTGGGGGTGTGTTGGGGGCTTTTGAGACGTCACAAAAGTCGTTCTGATTCTCTGGTGCGTTCATTCAGCCTTGTGTGGTGGGGGTGTGTTGGGGGCTTTTGAGACGTCTCAAAAGTCGTTCTGATTCTCTGGTGCGTTCATTCGGCCTTGTGTGGTGGGGGTGTGTTGGGGGCTTTTGAGACGTCTCAAAAGTCGTTCTGATTCTCTGGTGCGTTCATTCGGCCTTGTGTGGTGGGGGTGTGTTGGGGGCTTTTGAGACGTCTCAAAAGTCGTTCTGATTCTCTGGTGCGTTCATACGGCCTTGTGTGCTGGGGGTGTGTTGGGGGCTTTTGAGACGTCTCAAAAGTCGTTCTGATTCTCTGGTGCGTTCATACGGCCTTGTGTGCTGGGGGTGTGTTGGGGGCTTTTGAGACGTCTCAAAAGTCGTTCTGATTCTCTGGTGCGTTCATACGGCCTTGTGTGCTGGGGGTGTGTTGGGGGCTTTTGAGACGTCTCAAAAGTCGTTCTGATTCTCTGGTGCGTTCATACGGCCTTGTGTGCTGGGGGTGTGTTGGGGGCTTTTGAGACGTCTCAAAAGTCGTTCTATTTCTCTAGTGCGTTCATTCGGCCTTCTGTGCTGGGGGTGTGTTGGGGGCTTTTGAGACGTCTCAAAAGTCGTTCTGATTCTCTGGTGCGTTCATACGGCCTTCTGTGCTGGGGGTGTGTTGGGGGCTTTTGAGACGTCTCAAAAGTCATTCTGATTCTCTGGTGCGTTCATACGGCCTTGTGTGCTGGGGGTGTGTTGGGGGCTTTTGAGATGTCTCAAAAGTCGTTCTGATTATCTGGTGCGTTCATTCAGCCTTGTGTGCTGGGGGTGTGTTGGGGGCTTTTGAGACGTCTCAAAAGTCGTTCTGATTCTCTGGTGCGTTCATTCAGCCTTGTGTGGTGGGGGTGTGTTGGGGGCTTTTGAGACGTCTCAAATGTCGTTCTGATTCTCTGGTGCGTTCATTCAGCCTTGTGTGGTGGGGGTGTGTTGGGGGCTTTTGAGACGTCTCAAAAGTCGTTCTGATTCTCTGGTGCGTTCATTCAGCCTTGTGTGGTGGGGGTGTGTTGGGGGCTTTTGAGACGTCTCAAAAGTCGTTCTGATTCTCTGGTGCGTTCATTCGGCCTTGTGTGGTGGGGGTGTGTTGGGGGCTTTTGAGACGTCTCAAAAGTCGTTCTGATTCTCTGGTGCGTTCATTCGGCCTTGTGTGGTGGGGGTGTGTTGGGGGCTTTTGAGACGTCTCAAAAGTCGTTCTGATTCTCTGGTGCGTTCATACGGCCTTCTGTGCTGGGGGTGTGTTGGGGGCTTTTGAGACGTCTCAAAAGTCGTTCTGATTCTCTGGTGCGTTCATACGGCCTTGTGTGCTGGGGGTGTGTTGGGGGCTTTTGAGACGTCTCAAAAGTCGTTCTGATTCTCTGGTGCGTTCATACGGCCTTGTGTGCTGGGGGTGTGTTGGGGGCTTTTGAGACGTCTCAAAAGTCGTTCTGATTCTCTGGTGCGTTCATACGGCCTTGTGTGCTGGGGGTGTGTTGGGGGCTTTTGAGACGTCTCAAAAGTCGTTCTATTTCTCTAGTGCGTTCATTCGGCCTTCTGTGCTGGGGGTGTGTTGGGGGCTTTTGAGACGTCTCAAAAGTCGTTCTGATTCTCTGGTGCGTTCATACGGCCTTGTGTGCTGGGGGTGTGTTGGGGGCTTTTGAGACGTCTCAAAAGTCGTTCTGATTCTCTGGTGCGTTCATACGGCCTTGTGTGCTGGGGGTGTGTTGGGGGCTTTTGAGACGTCTCAAAAGTCGTTCTGATTCTCTGGTGCGTTCATACGGCCTTCTGTGCTGGGGGTGTGTTGGGGGCTTTTGAGACGTCTCAAAAGTCGTTCTGATTCTCTGGTGCGTTCATACGGCCTTGTGTGCTGGGGGTGTGTTGGGGGCTTTTGAGACGTCTCAAAAGTCGTTCTGATTCTCTGGTGCATTCATACGGCCTTGTGTGCTGGGGGTGTGTTGGGGGCTTTTGAGACGTCTCAAAAGTCGTTCTGATTCTCTGGTGCGTTCATACGGCCTTGTGTGCTGGGGGTGTGTTGGGGGCTTTTGAGACGTCTCAAAAGTCGTTCTATTTCTCTAGTGCGTTCATTCGGCCTTCTGTGCTGGGGGTGTGTTGGGGGCTTTTGAGACGTCTCAAAAGTCGTTCTGATTCTCTGGTGCGTTCATACGGCCTTGTGTGCTGGGGGTGTGTTGGGGGCTTTTGAGACGTCTCAAAAGTCGTTCTGATTCTCTGGTGCGTTCATACGGCCTTGTGTGCTGGGGGTGTGTTGGGGGCTTTTGAGACGTCTCAAAAGTCGTTCTGATTATCTGGTGCGTTCATTCAGCCTTGTGTGCTGGGGGTGTGTTGGGGGCTTTTGAGATGTCTCAAAAGTCGTTCTGATTCTCTGGTGCGTTCATTCAGCCTTGTGTGTTGGGGGTGTGTTGGGGGCTTTTGAGACGTCTCAAAAGTCGTTCTGATTCTCTGGTGCGTTCATTCAGCCTTGTGTGCTGGGGGTGTGTTGGGGGCTTTTGAGACGTCTCAAATGTCGTTCTGATTCTCTGGTGCGTTCATTCGGCCTTGTGTGCTGGGGGTGTGTTGGGGGCTTTTGAGACGTCTCAAAAGTCGTTCTGATTCTCTGGTGCGTTCATTCAGCCTTGTGTGGTGGGGGTGTGTTGGG